TTTTGCAAAAAGGATATTTTTAAGAATTTCATAAAATGTTAAAATTTAAATAATCTTGATTTTCATAAAATAGAATTGAATTTTTCTCTCACTCCTTGTCTGCTTGGATTTAATGACATGTTTATCTTGAAATCTGAAACTAAATGGAAACATAGAGATGGCTCATCTGAGCAGATAGTAGATGGCCCCTTCAACCAAACCAGCTACAGGCAGCACTGCCGTGGAGTCGGACAATGAGGGGCGAAAGATGGTTGTCTGCGGCAACCAAAGAACCAGAGAGATAGTGGAGCGAGAGGGACGGACATAGATGATGTGATGGGCAAACGTACACATGCACACACAGTCCAGAGCTGAGCAAACAACGCGGTGGAACAGCACTCAGTGAGTCAGTGTCTGCATGATCCATTAGTAACTCCCAGTCAGCGTACACACACACTCTTCCAGAAAAATGCCCACTGACCCACACCACAACAACTCTGAGACCTTTGAGAGCACAATGTCAACATGCTAAGCACACTGATACAATTACAGTTGAAGTGCTTTATTTCATTGTGATAGCAGTAGAAACTAATTCTAGTGTGACACGTAACCTGCCGTATATGTTTCAGCAGAACAGATTAGGTCTACCTGGGCTCTCTGCCAACCAATGCAGTGTCAGAGTATACATCACGACTCATATCAACCTGATTTCACCCACTTTCAAAACTCCAGATGTAATTTAAGAGGCGACAGGTGAGTAAAGAATCACTGCATGCATGGAAAAATCTACTTACAATAAACCATCCTTCAGGAAATGTCAAACATCAAAACATCAGCTGTTGAGGGACGGTCATCACCTGGATCTGTGTTTACACTTGCACAGTATATTAGCCTACATCGCCCTTTAGACTGGATCCTAATTGAGTACAACATAATAATGCTTTAACTCAAACTATCACAACTTCGGTAATCCATTATGTATCAACTCAAAGTACCAAATATTTACTGGATTTTGCTTCCCAAATGTAAGGATTTGCTTGCCTTTGACACAACTCACTAAAAAATGTTTTAAATGTTGTCAGACAAAATAAGGTCCAGTAATTTCAGATGGATATTTTGTCATTAATCGTTTACAACTTGTAGACAAAACTGTTCATCAATTTGTTGAAAAAGTAAGTAAGTGACTCATCAAAAATTATATAATGTTGGTCGCAACCGTGCAACATATCCTCTAGGCAGCACTACACTCACCGGATTTGCATATGAAAGGTATAGCCAGACATCGCAGTGCCTCTAAATATACCGACATGCTGAATAATGTAAGTGGGGTGGAGTGGAGCTGTCAATAATTAAGTGGATCGATTGGTGTGGGAGAACAGCTCTCTTTTACAGTGTAAAAGATAAGTGGGCCAAGAAAGCTTAGGTGTCAGAGGTAAAAAGTAACTCAGCATCCTCTTATCCAAGGAGGATTCAAATCAAGGGCAACTGGACATCAAAATTATTTTGTTGTTTGATTGTAAAGCACTTCAACTAATTTAAAACGTCCATTGCATATTGCTACGCTTTATATAGTACAGGAAATATATATTTGTGTGTTTTCTAAAATCATAATTGCTTTATGGTTTATTGTGATGGATTCATTAGAATGACGTTACAGTCAAAATAATATTGTGTGTTGCAGGAAAGAATGAAAAAGAGATGCAAATATATCTTTATCTAATCAATTACTAGGATCACAGGTGAACTTTAAAGATGAAATAAATGAAATGAGTTGTAAATTAACTGAGGTTGTTCTACTTTGTAGGTACATGCTTAAACTTATAAAGATGAAAGTGTAACAGGTTTAAGTAAGTTTTTGTGAAATTTTCCACTATTTTGCACAGACAAAAGAAAGTCTGTTTTTGTTTATGTAATTCCAACATCTAAATAAGATAAAGTCCTGGGCCATGCATCAGCCTGCAGGAGCCCTGCATAAGCCTACATTGCAAACAGTAGGCTACAGACCATTAATTGGCCAGTGTGCTTCAGGTCCTAAAAGCAACAAACTCCATCCACAACACACATCTATCTTGAATGGCTCAGCCCGCAGCAGGTAGGTTAGACTGCAACTCCGATAAACACAGCGCTCCAAATTCAAACATCCAATCTACAGTAAGTCAGAGAAAGAGGAAGATGCGGACGTGTCTTACCTTGCTCCTGATCTGTCCTGAGGTGGACACTTTCCGGATGAGTTTCTGGGGGCCTTCTTGCTCTGCTTCGCTGTCAGAGGACTCGTCCGCTGCACCGGAGCCGGCGACAGCCCCCACCACATGTGCATGGATCCCCGCAGCGGACGCCGGCCCTTTCTCCGGCTCCTGTCGAAGGGAGGGATAAAACCAATCGGGGTTAGCCTTCGCCCGGTCCGCCGCTCCCTTCCTCTCCTGGAGGCGAGAGCTGCTCCGCGGCTGGGAAGCGTCTCTCCTCGCTGTCATCTCTCACTGCCTCTATGATAAAGACGGCTGTGTTTTCTGGAGTGTGTGGGCTGGTAAACGCATAGGGGACGTCGCATGTCGCGGCAGAGAGGGGATGGGCTCCGCAGCATATAAGAACCCCGAGTCCCTGCTTGGCTGGTGGTTATGGCTCCAGCCAGCGCGCGACCAGTCCAGACTGAGGCTAGAGACCGCCTCGTGCGCTCCGTAAACCGGTGGACATGTCCGTGGCATGGCAGACCCTAGCGGCTGTTTTACACAAACACTGCACCCGAGCAGTGCCACAAACATTTTATGCTGTCTCAACTGCTTTCCGTTCTTCTTTTTTTTTCTTTCTTACAAGACAGACAAGACTTTGATGCTCAAGAACTGTTCAAGTGACCACTAAAACTAAATATCACAATAAATCAATAATAAGCTGCACTCATGGGATGTCGCCTACAGTCACACATTAGCCACAGTAACTGGCCAATTAATCCACACAAAGGTAACATTACTCTCATTATAATCTATGTTTTATATTTTCTTTTCTGTTAATTGTGATTTGAGATGTTTGCATGCACACAGTTAGGCTATGTAGACCTACTGTAGACTATAGCCCACTGAGCCTGAGAGAGTCAAGTCGTCGGATTTATTTCACCAAAAATATAAAATTCCAATTTTCGCAGACTTGGTGAGTGACTCCTGGTCTATGAAAGCCTAACCGAACGACTAATTTATTTTGACATGACAGAGTTAATATTCATTTCCAGTGGGCAAGACCTTATGATTCCATCATAAGGAAATTTGCACGGTAGCCTATAGTGTCTGAACTTTTTGAAAATCTACCCCCGATTTAGGGCGAAGTCCCCGTTCCATACAAACAATGTATGTAGTCATTTAGGCTATATAGGCTAAGTAAAAACTCAATGCGTTTGACTTCGTATTTTACACTAACCAACACTTATAAAGAGATTAAGACATCCTTATCTGACATTCAAACGGTAGCCTATTTGGACCGACAGCCCACTACACAAATCACAAACACGCTATTAAAGAGGATGAAACGCCTCCGAAGAAGTTTAGTAACGTTACAAACCAGACCACTAGACGCATGAGTGCATTAAAGGAAGACCTCTAATTGGAAACCGTGCAGGCTCGTAGTGCCAAAAAGTAGCCAGTGTTGAATTTTACTAACCAGTTCCTCCCAGGCAGGGCTGCGGGTGTAATGGTAGACATCCTCCATAGTCCCGGACCTCTCTGTCCGCTCCGGGGAGAAATGAAACGAATCAAGGAAAGGTGGAGGGATTCACAACCTGCCTCGCTGCCCTTCCACCGCTCATATGCGCACGGAATATATAAGATTTCATTCGGCTTGTGCTCCCTCCACTGCAACTCTCCTCCTGCCTGCTCCTTTCCCTCCGCTGTGCTCCTTCGAGGGCCGAGCCTATCCGCACTCCACGTGATAAATGTCAAACCCGCTTAACCGCGCGCGGCTTTGCGCGGTTCCTCGCGGCCCGCCGGGGATCACACGCGTGCAGCTCCAGTTTGTGAGAGTGAGTGTGTGTCTCTCTCTGTGTGTGTGTGTGTGTGTGCTCAAGCTATATAGCAATGTGCGAGTGCGCGTGAGTAAGTCTCCGTGTCTAGGTGAGTGTAATTACAATGACGTCATCGATGTATTGCCTTTGCTAATTCAATGTAGGAATCGAGATCAATTCCCCCCATTCCTCCATGTCATTTGTTTTAAATAGCCTACAATCTCATTTACTCTCTGTCTCTTCGCTGAACTTTTCTTTGAACTCAAAGACTAACACACATTTATTTAGGCTATTTATTTAGATAATTAGGCCTAGGCTACAGGCTACGTTTTCATGGGACTGGAGGTCTAGTTCCTTTTTTTGTAAAGCAAAATTCTTTGTTCTTAAATGTGCTACATAGAAATAAAAAACAATGGGTAAAGTTATGTAAATTTAGAAAACAGCCCTTTCATTTCACAACAGTAGCCTATTAAAAGTGTGGAGCATGAAGAACACAAGGGAGGCCATCAATTCTAATCTAATATTTTTTCTTTTTTCGATCATAAAGCAAATAGTTTTGGGCGTAATTATATAACATATCTCTAAATAAATTAGATTAATAAAAAAATTTATCTGTGTTTTGGATTTATGTTATAGTTTATTATTTACTGCATAATTTATGTAGAAGGGTTTGCGACAGAGAGAAACACATAGCCTATGTGAGTTACGGTAATAAAATAAAACAATTTAAGTAATTTAAGATCAGTTCTTGGAGGGAGAACTACTTTGGACATACCACGGCCTATTGTAAAATAGGGCTGATTTTAGTGTTGAATTGCTACTCAAACGTAACATAGACATGTTGCACAGACACAGAAATCCAAACACAAACATGCACTGTCACAGGGTGTCTTTATTATCAAAATTAAATTATTCTACAATAAGTGCTTTTACCTAAATACTGTGTTAGTATTATTTCTAGGGCTGGAGGTCACAAGACAGGCTTATTCGTACAAAACATTTATTCTATTATTTTATTCACGAAAGAAAGCAGCTCAAAAACTAAACTGTTCGCAACATGGTTGTTATATCTGTTTGAAACACTAAGTAGGAACACTTGTATAAACACGTGAAATCACTACGGAAGACTTTAGCCCCGGACACGTTAGTCCGTCTTTTATTATCTTCCGAGTCCCACAAAATGAGCCGACAGATGTTATGAAATGGGAATAAGGCCGTCAGGACGTAGCTAAATGAGAAGCGTGCGGACTTATATGTTTTATAATATGTGTTGGATGGCAGCAGCTTAGTCTCAGTATGCACTCCCAGATATTATGTAGCGGCACAGCAGCGGCCGTCGCTGCGAGAAGACTGCGGAGTATTTTGGGTGCTGTCCTGGGGAGAGACGGCTGGATGTGGAGAACTCATGAGGTCAAACTCCTCAACACAGCCTCAGGTAATAACCTCTCTGTTATAACCGAGTTTACACAGCAAGCGAAAAACAGTGCACACGTTTAAGGAAATAGCTAATGTGTAAGTTAGTCAGAAACGAGAACATTTTGTTCATAGTTATTGGATTTGGTAACAACAGCTATTATTACCAATCGTTAGCTATTCTAACGTTACTCTGCGTGCTAGGTGACAAATACTGGTGGTTATAGCCTAACGTTACATGTTTTATGTGATATTATACAAGTTGAACACAACAAGATGAAAAAGTGTTCGATTAGCATTGAACGTGAGCATGACTTGGAAGTAACGTTAGCAACATGGAAAACTAGGCGAAAGGGCAAAATAGGTTAATGGTTAAAGTCAGGTAATTAGTAGTAAAGTAATTAGGTAAAAGTCATGCTAGCCTCAGTTGTAGCCTTTAACGTTACTGTAACTAATACTATTTGTCTTTATATTTGACATTTTTGCAATGATAATGAGCTAAATGTCTACATTTGAGTCACAGAACTAAAATGCATACTTTGTTGTTTTTCTTCTCAAAGGTAGATACAAACCAAACAAAAGCTGCTTACACTTGCTGCTCTTTTAAAGACTTATCCAGGTTGCCTAAAGACTCTTTTATTTTTGTAGGACTAAACAATGACATAAGCATTGATAAATAAATGTGGAAAAACAGAAATAAATACATGTAAAAATACACAAACAGCCTTTTTTATTACCAAAATGTATTTAATTTCAATTTATTTTGTATTCAGTTATATATTTCAGCATTTATTAATTCATTAATTTATACTTATGTCATTTTCTATCATTCATATTTATCAGAATGGCACAAAATACACTATTGTACATACAGTTTGTGTTTGGCGTTGTTTGACTCTATTTTGATGCCTTTGGACTTAGAATGGGATGTTCTAAAAATAATGTGTAGGTGTCCCTCTACTATAGTTTATATCGACATTTTGACCTGTCATAGTAGGAAAACCACAGGTGTTACTTACAGCAGCAACGATGGCCCCATTCAATTCAAGTATAATCCGTGACAATGATACACTATGTGCAATACCAGAGCACTGAAACTGAAGCAGCCATCATTCATTTTATTATTTACACCTGTTTTTGTCCTGCTGTCCTCCATGTCAACATGCCTTTAGAGAAATTGTGCAGCAGACTTTAAAAGAAAAAAAATACTATTTGGATTAGAATTGCCAACTCCTTTAGGAATTTAGCAGTAAGGTTTGTCAAACAACCTTAAGGGTTTTGCTCTGTGACTCCATCAATGCAAATCTCAAATTAGTATTTGATACACTGCTGATTTTGCAGGTTTTCCTACTTAAAAAGCATGTAGAGGTCTGTAATTCTTTTTAGGTACTCTACAACTGTGAGAGACGGAATCTAAAACAAAAATCCAGAAAATCACATTGTATGATTTTTAAATAATTAATTTGCATGTTAACCAACCAGTAAGAATTCTGGCTCTCACAAACCTGTTGGTTCTTCTTTAAGAAGCCCTCCTGTTCTCCACTCATTACCTGTATTAACTGCACCTGTTTGAACTTGTTACCTGTATAAAAGACACCTGTCCACACACTCAAACAGACTCCAACCTCTCCGCAATGGTCGAGACCAGAGAGCGGTGTAAGGACATCAGGGATAAAACTGGCTGGGATGGGCTACAGGACAATAGGCAAGCAGCTTGGTGAGAAGGCAACAACTGTTGGCGCAATTATTAGAAAATGGAAGAATTTCAAGATGACGGTCAATCTCCCTCGGTCTGGGGCTCCATGCAAGATCTCACCTCGTGGGTCATCAGTGATCATGAGGAGGGTGAGGGATCAGGCCAGAACTACACAGCAGGACCTGGTCAATGACCTGAAGAGAGCTGGGACCACAGTCTCAATGAAAACCATTAGTAACACACTACGCCGTCATGGATTAAATTGCAGCACACGCAAGGTCCCCCTGCTCAAGCCAGCGCATGTCCAGGCCTGTCTGCATTGAAAATGTGTCGTGGCTGGGTCTTCCAGCATGACAACGACCCAAAAACACACAGCCAGGGCAACTATGGAGTGGCTCCGTAAGAAGCATCTCAAGGTCCTGGAGTGTCCTATCCAGTCTCTAGACCTGAACCCAATAGAAAATCTTTGGAGGGAGCTGAAAGTCCGTGTGGCCCAGCGACAGCCCCGAAACCTGAAGGATCTGGAGAAGGTCTGTATGGAGGAGGAGGCCAAAATCCCTGCTGCAGTGTGTGCAAACCTGGTCAAGAACTACAGGAAACGTATGGTCTCTGTAATTGCAAGCAAAGGTTTCTGTACCAAATATTAAGTTCTGCTTTTCTGATGTATCAAATACTTATGTCATGCAATAAAATGCTAATTAATTATTTAAAAATCATACAATGTGATTTCTGGATTTTTGTTTTAGATTCCGTCTCTCACAGTTGAAGGGTACCTATGATAAAAATTACAGATCTCTACATGCTTTGTAAGTAGGAAAATGCTCCCCACTGTACATGAGAAGCTCACATGAGGGCTATTATTCAGCAATCAAATATTAACCACCTGTGTTTTTATATTGTTACTCAAACATTTAATGGCAAGCACAGATGGTTAAGCATCAGTAGCAGCTGATACTGTACTGATTATCACTAGCATTGTCTGTGAAAGACTTTTTGGTGACCCTGATTTTTGCAGGTGGCACAGTGACGATTGGAGAGATCACTTACAAACTCAAAACACCCCGGAATCCAGAACTTGTTCCTGTTAAACACAGTATGTAACTTTCAGTCTGTGTACAAAATACATCTGCGTGAAATGACAGGAAAACTGTGGTAATTAATAAAATAAGTTACTTAAACTTAATTTTGTTTGGGATTTGCTAGTTTCAGACTCCCTATCCCAGACAGTGGCTCAGCACCTACGATGGATCATGCAGAAAGACCTTTTGGGCCAGGATGTGTTTCTTATTGGTCCCCCAGGACCCCTGAGACGATCCATAGCTATGCAGTACCTCGTGAGTACACACACAACACACAGACAAGCTGTCAAATGATGGCATGTGGGAGTATTCAAGTATTTGTAAAACTCTAACAAACCTAATACCCCAGAAACCCAATCTCAGATATGAATGAAATTGTTTATCACTGCTTATGGATACGTTGCAATACCTAAAATGCTATTCATATTGTATATGTTATTTAATGTCTCACCTCTTGAAAAATGTTATTGTTGTTTGAGTTTGTGACATTTGTTTGCAAAATCCTCACATAATTTTTTTATTGTACAACAAAAGCCTGAAACTTTTCCATGGGATTCTGAAGTGCTGTGTGTAGCCAACTTTTTCCCTTGTTGACCAGGAGTTGACCAAACGGGAAGTAGAGTATGTTGCTCTGTCCAGGGACACCACAGAGACTGACCTGAAACAGAGGAGAGAGATCCGCTCAGGGACAGCCTTCTATATAGACCAGGTAAATCTACTCAGAACTTATAGTTTTTCTTTGGATTCATACACTGTCTGACAATCAGGGTTTGAAATGAACCCAAGTTGGTGTAAAATTTTCTTTTCCAGATATATCAAGTTATTTGCCACATTAGCAATTGCACACTCACTACATTTTCTATGAATGTGGATGTCTGTCTGTATGTGTTACTCTTGTGATGGATTTTTAACATTTCTACTGAGATGATGATTCTCTTTTACAGGAGTTCCTTTGAATCTGTTTCCTTACCTTCTCTATTATTGCTTGATTAGGAATCCTGAATCTGTCCAATATGAAAAGACTTGGAAGTCTTTTTAAAATACATAGGCTCTGTCACTTCTTTCACAATTTCACCTGGCTTATGTTTCCTACACAGGGGGCTGAAGATATGTCTTCTAGAACCAAAGATTCAAAAACAGATCATTATAATTATATTGCACATCATTATTCTCATCCACACAAGCATTTGGAATATGTTATAATAAATCTGTGTAGTGCGGGTAGAGCTAAGTGTACAGTAAGCTTGCAGCACTACACAGAAGGGGCACATGCACGGCAGCAAAGGGAATAGGAGAAAACAAGAACAAATCCCATTTTAGCCAACAGCATGTGAGCACATATTAGGTCCTTGGCGCCTTTCTAGCTCAATACAACAAAGTGAGATAGTTTTACTAAAAGAGTTTTCAAAAGACAATGGATTGTCACAAACCATTACAAACAATCTTTATTTTTCATAATGGTTTAGATAAAAAAAGACCTAAAACACAAATTTAGAATAACAATAATTGGGTTCTGGCTAAATACTGAAAGCAAGTCACCAATAATCGGAACATGGAGCACATCTCTTTTCCATCACTTAAACATCATTAGACTACCGCTAGGGTGGAATAATAACTGAGCATGCCTTCTCCTCTCTACTTGTTTCTGAAGCACACAAACACAAGGCGTTCAGTTACAGTAACACATAAACTCACATCACAACAGTGGCGCCCTCCCTGACCACTCCGTTCTGTTCTTTTCCATACCACTTTGTGATCGATCAAGCATTATGCAAACAAACACCCCCACACTCTGTTGACTTTGTAAGTCAAGTAACCATGGAGACCAGCAGTTCCTCATTATCAAGGCTGGTTTCTCTTAGGAGAACTTTCTGTTCTCCATTCATCTCCATTCATTCCTCACGGGTACAGAAAAACAGCAATAATAAAAAATAAAAATAAAAACAAAATCCACATAAGGCTGATCATTAAACCCCTGTCATTGAGCTTCAAGGAGCCAGCAGTGACAAATGATGATAATCTGTGATAATTAACATTTACTCAATCATGTCATTATCCACAGCTAATTAGCATGTGGCTTCATCTGTGTAAAAAAAAAAAATCAGTTGCATAACACTTTAAATATAAACTCCATGGAAACAAGTTTTTTATGTTTTACTCTCAGCACATTTATCCTTTAGACCTCACACACAAACCTGCTCTTCTGGAACAGAACCACTCACAGTGTGAGTGGAGTTTGGTTTCTGTGGAGTGTCACTCCACTTTCTTCAGTAGTATAGTGGTAAATGAAGAAAGTGGTATTTTACAATTATATATATTTATCGTATGTACTGTAAATGTATAGATTTTCCAGTGGATGCATCACTGCACTGCACCCCAGCCACTGCATCTCTGAGTGGTTTTTATAATTTAATAGAAGGTAAGGGGCCCTATTTATGTGCCAGTGCAGATGAAGCATTAGGGCTGCCAGCCTGCTGATGTTGCAGTTTTGTTTGGCTCTGGCAAATTTTTCTAATTTGATAGTTAGTTCTTTTTAGAAATTGAATGGCAGGGTTCCATAATTGGAAAGCATTACTAAAAATGATGTGACATTGCAATTTTATTATAAAAAAACCTGTGCTTATGTGTAAAGACCCGCATAGACCTCTCCAGAAAAACACAAATACCTTTTATGTTGAATATAATTACTTCTATCACCATTATATAGAGGACTGTAAGCTAGGACACAACCATGAACATTTTGTTTTTGTACATAATTATGTAAAATAATTACATATTTTGTCTGCGATGAAAACACTATTAACAATTTCTTATTCTAAACAAAATTAAGTGGAGACGTTCATGAGACTGAAAGTCAGAAACATTGTTTTAATTCTAACTGTAGTACATTAAAGTCTATTTCATGAAAAGGCCTTTTTTGACTGTTAACAGCATGTGCTTTCTATCTGTAGGCCATTTTGGGGCATGTGGTGACATTTAGCAAGAACCACAAAACAGAATTTAGCTGTTAGCTGTGTCCCGGTTCCATACTACCTGCCAGTTCTTAGCAAATTTTGAGCATGAAATGGGAAAAACATATATTAAAGTGTCAAATATGTATTAAATATCAGTGTGCATACTAAAGAATGATGGGTTTTTGTGCAAATTATTAAATATTTAATATGATTAAACATTTAGAAAAAAATCTTTGGGAAAAACATCTTCCTAAATCTACGGTGGCAGAATTCCCAGCATGCACTTTAAAGATCAGAGACCCTCTTTGCGTAGTGATTAGAAATAGCATAATTATGGTTTTGCTTTTCTGCACATAGACCAGATGATGCTCAGGTGTCACACACCGGTAAAAGTAATAATAGGGGAGTTTGATTTGGTGTGCCGCTAAACAAACATTGGCAACAATATTGACTGTCAGTAACTTACTCTACAGAAATTAGACTTGCCTTTACTGGACAGCAACATTAGAAAGATGACAGGAAATAAGGAGAGAGAGAGAGAGTAAATGTACTTGCATTGCGCCATTCTAGTCTTCTGACCACTCAAGTCTCCTCCTATTCATACACTGATGGCAGAGTCTAAGGTGCCAACTGCTCATCAGAAACAGACATTAGCGTTCAGAAACAGAAGTTAACATTCATACACATCGGAGCTGCACAACTCCCATGATATTGAAGTGAGGTAGCAGTATGAAGCTGCCTTCTGCATTAGCACATATGGAAAATGGGGCCCAAGAGTGAACATATATGGACAATCACATAATCTTGCTTCCTAACCCTAAACGGGACATTAACACTTTTGACAAATAGTCATGGTAATCTCGTGGTCCAAAGTCTTGGAAGCGGTCTCTGAATGATTAAATCATTGCCTCTCTGTCCACTCGTCCTTATCCACTGACGACACAAGGCTGGGTTGATACATTTTCTGATTCCTGCGAAAAGGAAAGCTAGCCAACCCCTTCAACTCCCTGAGGCTCATTCACCTCCCACATTCTCATCAAAATGAAAACAGGTGCCCACTGTTTCCATGGAAGCAGCTCATGAATAGATACAACAGTATTGATGGTACAAATAAGTGTGAAGAGACTACTTATTTCTGGTTTTCCTCAAATCTCATGGAATTTTGTGCCAGCTAATGAAATGTGGGAAGGGTGTTTGTCCGTGTGAGTCGGCATGTGCTTGTTTATGAGTTGGTGTGTTGGATAAAACTTGTAGGAGATGTAGTTAGTTTTTGTGTGTATTCATATGTGTCTGCGGGTGTGATCTGTGAGTTTATGTACTCATTACAGTATCTGACACTTATTTTGTGTGAGGGATTGAAGACGTGTGTGGGCGCAAATTAGCAAGCTTGTCTTTTTGAGAATAGTTTGGTATCGTAGGAGGTGTGCATTTGTGTGTTAACTAGAACATCCAAGTATTCCTCAGAGCCCTGTGCTGATTTGGAGCCCTATATTCAGATTTAACGTGTCGGTCCCTGTGCTTACTCTTTCCCTCCCATCTCTCCACTTTAGTCTCTGCCTCTTTAGTTCTCGTTCTGTCTTTTTTTTTTTCTCCTTTCCTCCTTCAGTCCAAACTTCACTCCACGCCCCCAAATCCGTATAAAGGATCGAGTCACATGGATGTAATCTCATGCTTCTTGTATTTTTGACATTTCCAGTCACCTCTCTCCAGTTAGGCACTTATGTAAGGCAGCTTACCTCTAACCCACACTGCAGATAAGATTCTTTTACAGTAATAAAAAGCTTCCCACCTCCACTAGAACCGAATTTGAACTGAAACTAGTGTATAGCTAACAAATAATTAGCATCTGCAGCAAGTAAAATAAATGAATTGGATGCCCTTTCTAAGCAATATGTTGGTCACATGTAGCAAGTAAGCACCCAAAAAATCCAATTTTAGGGCAAAAGCCCTCAGTGCCGTGCACAAATCTGTGGCTGATGGCATCAAAACAAGGCAGAAATATTAACAATAAATGGTATCTAAAATAAAACTTTATTAATAGTTATTACTTTCAAGTGAGAGAACTGGTGTGGAGTGGGCCTAGAGAAAGAGAGTGTCAGTGGCATGGTTAATGCTGAACTGCAAATCTGCATGTGTGGAGGTAAAAACAGGAGCAGTTTGTTGTAAAATTAGAAACTAATAACCAGGTATTTGGGCCACGCAAATAGAACAGAACAATTCTTAAACATCAGAGACTGCAGCAGACCGAAGTTAATGGCGACCTTGTACTTTCATGTAATCGGAAGTGTTTCTGGACCGAGAACCGCCAGCATTGGACGACGTCCCACTGTAGATATCAGGCATGAAAGACAGATATGTGAAAATTCAAATCGTATCTGTGGTGGAAACCATGTTATTTAAGTCTTCCAAAATAGTGAAAAATTTGACACCTTGTAACATCAAATATTAAATATTTGTCTGTGTATGCAGGTAAGATACAAACATGGATCTTACATGCAAACAGTTAAAACATATCCCAGTCCCATAGAAGTTTTATTATCGGTGTAGTCAAGTTAAGATTAAATCTGTGTGATCATAAATTAGGTTTCATTGGGTGCAGAAGGGTTTTGACAAATATAAACAGGGTATGCATTGTGCTACAACAATTAAACGTTACATACAGCGCAGAGACAGTGTAGGAGATGATACGGCAATAATATGCATACTGCTAATCCTTTCAATAGTCTATTCATTGCTAAAAGCTTCTCAGCCTCTGGTGGGGTGTCGCTCTTTTTTCTACATAGTTAGTGTCAAACAGAAAACAAGGCATGTCTGTGCTTCCCCGTCTCTCTCTCGGCATCCTGCGTCACTTACATTTCTAACAATTATCTGATTACAGCGTTGGTGCCAAAAATGGATCGAGAATTTAAATATAGAGCATCTGGTCCTCACTATAGTTTTATGGCTCTGCTTCCCACACAACCTGCCACGTATTTACATGTTAACCTAATTATATGGCCACTTGCTCTGCGGTCCACCCAGACAGCTAAAGTTTCCTGCCTCTTGACGTCAGATGTGCTTTTTGATTTCTGCAGAGATGTGTGTCTACGCACGCATATACATGTACACACATATACACATGCTTCAAAAGCCAAACCGAGATTTTTACCCAACATTTGGTGGTAGAAAATAGGCCTTCCTAAAAAAGCTGAGACTGTTTTGAAGCTCGGTTTGGAGGACGTTCTTCTGTACACAATAAGCTGAGGACATCCTCAGGAAAGGGTTTATGGCAGGCTTATGTTGTCACCAGAGCATGGGCAGTAAGAGCTGATGCACAGTCAGATTGCTCTTTGTATAAATGCTTTTAGCACGGTTAACATTTACACAGGGTCAGAGGTCGTACTGGACAATGGAGCAGCAGATTTGACCTGAGGTTGAACTGATTGCGATGGTTTAGCCTTAAAATGAGCCATTTCCTAGTACCAAAATCTTCCCCCGCATCTCAAATTAGTACTGAGTAGTGATTAAGTTACTGTTACTGATTAGTCTTGACTTGTTTTGTGTTTGTGCCCAGTGTGCTGTAAGGGCGGCAACACAAGGTCGAGTCCTGGTTCTGGAGGGGCTGGAGAAGGCAGAGAGAAATGTTCTGCCTGTCCTTAACAACCTGCTGGAGAACAGAGAGATGCAGCTGGAAGACGGACGCTTCCTTATGTCATCTGAGCGTTACGACAAGCTGCTGCTGGTTAGTATAGCACACTCGCCTTCATAGGCCTTGAGGGTTTGAAGGTCTTTAAGGCGTTCTCAATCAAAGCCTTGTGGTTTGGAAACATTTTGAAGAACAACACAACTAAGGGTGAAGGACTTCACTTCTTACTTGGTTTTATCCAATTAAGCATGGTTTAGATTTAAGAAATTAATTATTTTTCATGATCATGGCAGAATTTTCACACTACTCCTACAGAGCTCCTCTCGTGTTTAAAGGAAAAATGCTGTTACCATAAATACTGTGTAACATTCGGGTCTGTACTTGTTACATGCGCCTGTCTATCTGCAGCCTTTTGCATAAAAATTGCATTTAAGACGTTACAGACAGTAGAAAAGGACTGGAGTGTTCTATACCTCGATGCATTGCAGGAGCACACCAAAGAAGAGCTGGACAGCTGGAAGATTGTCCGTGTAAGTGAGGACTTTCGGGTCATTGCTCTAGGTCTTCCTGTCCCCAAGTACAAGGGCAACCCGTTGGATCCTCCTCTCCGCTCTCGCTTCCAAGCCAGAGACATCTATTACCTACCATTCAAGGTCAGTCCAGGAGTTGGATGATTATTGACACTAAACATTTCCCACCACCAAAATGACTCAGTGAGAGAAAAGAAAAAGAAGACAGGTCATCTAACTTGTTCTCCCTGTTGATCCTATTTTCATTACCCTGAATAATCCACATAACACACTGTGAACAAACTTAATTGGAACTAATTTCTATTAAAACATAGCTTACCCTATAAATGCGGGGGAAATGGGATATAATACTGGAAAGACACATGATTGTTGAAGTTTTTGTCTTAAATGTACAACACTGAAAAATGTTTAATGCATGAACTGGCTCTTTATTTTGTAGCTTGTGAAGAGTTAAGTGTGGGATTTAGCGTCTGTTTCAAATGCATTAAATTAACATTTCAAATTTTAAGCTGCTTGTCTAGTTTTTAGATTGTAGCCACATCTTGTAAACATTAATTAAGCCACTACGTAGTGTTTCTACCCTCTCAGCAAGCAGTTTTCAACAATAAATCTTTCAGATATTGAACTTGTGACCATAAACAATTTTATTTTAAAGTACTCCTAAGTGTGTAGCCTTGCAGCTGTTTTCATCTTGCTATTGTTTTGTTTTCAGGACCAGTTGGAGCTGTTGTACACAGCAGGACCAAACATTGCTGCAGAAAGGTAAATTAAAAGTAAAAGTTTTTAAATGGCTTGTTCGACTTGTGTAGCCTTTGACGTCTCAGGAGTTATTCATATGCATTATTCTGTGTGTCAGGGTGTCCCAGCTGCTGTCACTAGCCACTACACTGTGCTCCCAGGAATCATCCAACCTTGGCCTTCCTGACTTCCCTGTGGACAACCTGCTTCCTGCCCTCCACGTGCTGGTGAAAGCCCAGGCCCTAAATCTTCCTTACTGTCCGTAGAGAGGGAGCAAGAAAAATAAAAAACAGATGTCTGTTGGTCCAATGGCTGTCTTTTCTGTGTTCTTGCAGAACGCTTTCCCCATGCTGTCCTCCCAGCAGCTAGTCCAGAGACTTTACCCCTACAACAGCATCCTGGGCAAGGAAGGGTGCACTGCTGTGGAGGGCGTACTGAGTGTAAGCCAAGATGTGAACTAGTCAAAATGTGACTGTGATCTATATGTGGTGTCATCTAATGTGCATGCTTGTTGTGGTCTGAACATGAGGTAAGATACATTATTAATTTTGGCCTACATCATTCTGTGGCACTCTTTCATAGAGATTTGAGCTTTTGGACGGTCGTCGCCAACAAACACCCAGCGCCATTTTGAGTGTGTCCAAGACAAGGGATGTTGAGGGCCATGCAGATGTCACATTGCGTGTCACAGACAAGGACGTCACCTTTCAGGTACCGGTAGACTCTCTCTCTATATATGCACAGAGTGCAAAATTAAAGCCCCAGATTGGTATGCAGACCATGTACACTTATGTGGGGCAATGGAGTGCTTTGTTCTAATTGTGGATTGGGGCTATTAGGACATCAAGCACTGCGTCTGCTGTAAGCCTGTGTTAAAAGTGCCCTATGGAGTTTTCTCCATAGCATTTGAAATCCTACATGGTTTATGTCCATGTAGCATCCTACAGTCTCCTTCATTACTCCTTCATTTGCTGCTGCATCGCTGTGTTTCTTGGCACATTACTGTCCCTGTAGATGGCTGGAGTAATGTGAAATGTGTAAGGGTGCATGTACGTCCTCATGCGTGTGCATGAGACAAACAGGGACTCTCTCATAAAAAACCCGCTCTATACTGCTGCTGAAGGTCAAAACCTCCGCAGGGTTTTGATAATTTTTATTTTTATTTTCTATAACAGCTACTTAAAATAAATAAATAACAAGACGTGCACTACTACATTATTATTTGTTTTTATATATTGTCACACTCTGTAATCTGATTGTGCCCTTGAGTGTGACCACTAGGCCCACTTCATCACATCATGACCTAAAGAACATTTTTCTGACAAAACGGAGACAGCGAGTCACACGTTTCACTGAGATGTCCGTTGTTCTTGGCAGGCCACACACAGGCAGACGGGCAGGCAGACCCACTATATCAGTAGCTTGACCATCTTATCTCTAACTGGGCTTTTAGAAGGGAACATCTTTATCATCTTTTAATTCTAACAGTGTTTGTGGATGAGTCACTGTGCGGGGTTTGGGAGAACAGATTTATTCCCGACTTCTAAGATGTTCCAGCCAAAAAAAATTATATCACTCTTATTAACTCTTTGAAGTTGTATTTTCTTTATGCGTGGCAGTAATTCTCTTGCTGTAAGTCTCATGGATTTTTGATAACACTATGTTATTGGAACACAGTATCTTTTGTTCCCAGCTGTGTATCAGTGATGCTGATAAGTCTGTGAATCAGTGTTTATTTAAAGGAATATTTTTCCTCAACTTATATAGTACGATGAAGCTGCTGGTTGTGTTTTCATGTCTATTTCTTGTCGTCATCAAACTTCAGGTTCCAGCAGGCATCAAGGAGCTGCGCCAACCCAACAGTAGCCCTACCTTCATCAGTACACCAAGCCACTCCCAGCTGATTGCGGAGATGATGCAGTCACACATGATTAAGGACATATGTTTGATAGGAGCTAAGGTAGCTAACTCATAATGTACAGTAGACATACATACAGTACAGTACACATGAATGTGATCTCTTGTCTTAACAACGATAATTTTGCATTTTCTAGGGCTGTGGCAAGTCGGTGATTGCGAAAGAGTTCGCTGAGATGTTGGGTTACAGCATAGAGCCAGTCATGCTCTACCAGGTAATAAAATAATAAAAACTACTCTTTGAAATATTTAAATACTTTGCTTTTTTGTTTTGTCTGGAACTATCTGCATTCATTATATGTGAAAACACAGCATTTGATGAACAGTGTGTAATCACCAGGCGGAGCATCTATATGGATCCACCAAGCAAATGCATGTTATAGCACTATTAATAGTGCGTTAGGTAGGTAATAGGTCATGTCAGGGAAAGCATATCACAGGCAGAGACACATTTTGTGACGTGTTATGTTATTTCACAAGGTTTCAACCAATAGGGAAGAGGGGCAAACAAATTGCACACAGTGGGGAAGGGGCAGTTTAATGAAAGAACAGAAACTGTTTCATAAGAAGAAAATGCTCTTCTCTTTCTCTACCAGGATTTTCTCAACTCATGTCACACTTTTTAACCACAAGCATATATAGCAATAGTAATGCTTTATTTAGTACCCCACTTGCTACATAATCAGTTGAATAATTTCTTTGTATGAGCATACATCTCTCAAACGTAAAGCCAGGGAAGGTGCAGTATAGTGGGATGGAGTATATTTATGTAGAATTAGGACCGTAGTTTGGCTAAAAGACCCACATCTGGCTTTCATTACCTGGGTCTCAGGCCACCCGTCAGGCCAGAAACTGACACTGAGTGGAAGATAGAGAGCAAAGGAGGGCTGCTACAATATATGTGTCTGTATATGTAAAACCTCCCCCTCTGTGTGTCCATGTGAGTGTGTGTAGTCAGCTGGGTGATGATTGTGCAGGAAATGGGAGTGCTGGAACCGTATGTATTAATGCATCATGCTGCGGCTATTTTTAGCTTGCTGAGGTCAGGGGTGACTTGTGCTGTGGGAATTGTGGAATCCTTCGTCAGGCAATTCAGCTTGTCAGCTCTGAAAAATCCCATTTTTGGAAAAAACTAAGTGACATGAAAGGCTAGAGTGGAATTTACATAAATGATTTGTTGATATTTTGTCCTTCAATGGATAAAACACAATAATAACAAAAACCCTTTCCTTCTTTTGAAAACAAAAATGGACAATAATAATCTCGGCAAAAGCAGATTCCCTTGCTATCTAAATACGGGGGTAGAGGGGAATCATGCAGTATTACAGATATTTATCAAGGAATAAACAGACCACCATACAGAATCTTGTACACGTGTACAATACAGGTGTACTTTCATTCAGAACCATAGCCACTTACATTTGCATTTGCCTTGTTATGGGGAGCAGCTTTACTGAGAAAAATAACTTCAAAGAGAGTGGATGAGAGCCTAGTGATTCTCTGCTCATTACAGGTGATTAGTTGCATTAAACACCTCCAGAGGGCACAAAGGACACTTCTGGCACAGGCACACCATTTACCCCTTGGTAAGCCAGTGGTCGAGGAAGTAGTTATATCCTGTCTCTACCGGTTACCTCAAAAATGTACTTAAAAAAGCTTAATCTGAAAAGTAACAAGGAACTTGTATTATGAAATACAAGAAGTGGGGTAAAAAGTCCAAAGGTCCATTTAAACAACAAGATAAATGAACTCTTCAGTGACCTGTTAGGATTTATAGACTTTGTTAGAGTGGTAAAAGGACAGCAGAGCAAATATAGAACTGCTTGGGCATATGGTGTAGGAATAATAGCCTGAAAAGCTTAAAATACTTTTGTACCACAGTATTTTTCATGTTGCAAGCAGTCTCAAAATGTGTATTTCTCCTGCTAATACAACATGATAGAAACAGACGTAGAGCCTACTTATCTTGACAGCTGCATAGCCTTGGCCCAGGTGCTGTGTTTCTTGATGCATCTGCAAGTCGAAGTGACTGCTGTTTTTCGGTTCAGGTCTGCTCACATCTGAAACTGCCAGGCAGGCAGTCATGATGGTGGTTACCAGAGACCCAGAAGGATAGAGAGTGATTTGTCCCTGTGGCTGAGGAGACCAGGCACCCCATAAATTACACTTTTGAAATTATGAATGTCAGAGGAGCTCGGACAAATGAGCATCCATGTCTTCCTCCTAGCTTCTGCCTGTCTGACCTCACTGTTGTGGCTAAAGAATGTTGTCCATTTATCCCTTACCTTTAGTGGGTCATGCCCACTGTTGGTATAGTGGAACCTCATTTCCCCTTAATTCATTCTACTTCATGATAGCACCAAATGGAAAATATAGAGCCTGTTTTTGACTTAATGAAAACTGTCTTCTTGCTGTGGAGCATTTAGCAGTTTGGTTATCACTGCCTGGAACAAATTGTGCAACTCTGCTGTCTCTGTCATGACACGGTAGCGTGATAGTAAATGTGACAGTCTTGCTCCACAGACGCCCCCCCCCCCCCCCCCCATTAGCCATTAGCTATTAGCTATTAGCTGTTATCTGTAAAGCAGAGATATCAAACACAGCAGCAGGGCCAGATCCTGTGAGGAGAAAAACTGAAAATCTCAGCTTGCTTTATCCAATTCCACTGTGTGATAGAAAACACACACCGAACCACTCCCCACTTTGCTCCCAATCCCCTCACTTAACTTTGTCACTTGGTGTCCCTTTCCTTCCTCCCCAACTTCCAGGACATGACAGCCAGGGACCTTCTCCAGCAGAGGTACACTCTCCCTAACGGAGACACAGCGTGGAGGCCGTCTCCACTGGTCACTGCTGCCATTGAGGGCAAGCTGCTGCTTTTGGATGGTATACACAGGGTCAACCTCGGGACCCTGGCTGTGCTGTCTAGGTACTTCAGTTTGCTAAAGATATATAGTTTCCGTAGCTCACCTGGGTTGAGCGTGCACGTGTCGAATCCTTACCGCAGCAGCCTGGGCACTTAGCTGCATGTCATCCCCTCTCTTTCCCCTGTCTGCTTACTACTTAAACAAAATAAAGCGTAAAATGGCTACATTGGATTGCTTTGTTGATATTGCTATCTATCTTGATATATACTATCTTCTGTATTCTGTGTTATATTTTTGTTAGTTCTTCCTGAATGCTCCTCTAAATTAGTTAGTCTGTTCTAATTTAAGAGAGTAACACACTTCGACCTTTACCTACTCATTCCACATTGTTTTGTGTCCCAGGTTACTCCACGACAGGGAGTTAGATCTGTACGATGGGACCAAGCTGCTGCGGTGGGACAGATACCAGACACTAAAGGAACAACTGCAGTTCAGTGACCAGCAAATGCAAGAGAGGTACACACACACACACACACACAGGTCTGCACACAGAGCTTTACGGGTAATATGTGGGAAAGACCAAGAACATTTTAGGTGCATTTCTGAAAGTGAATTTGCGTCAAACATGGAAACACGACAGTTGTGGCCCCTGGCTTTTTAAAAACAACAATAGCTACATTCATGATTAGCACCATAACAGGAAGAAAGAGTCAGAGAGACAACAGAGAGGGAGGACAATACAAAAGTAAAGACAATAGTATTCCAGGTAAACCAAGAGAGTGACGTTCAGATCTGTGATGCTGGGGTCTTTTGACTTCAGGGATATCTATAGAGAGAGATGGGTGAGTACAAAACTTTGATTCAAAATGAAAGAAATGAATAGTGATGCTTACTGTAAGTTTGTGTTGTATGTTACTTCTCCCTTCTGGATCAGTATTCATATCATCCAACTCAGGTGTTCAGGTGAAACTAGTCCAAACTTAAGAGAATACTTGGGTCTGCTGTGGTGGGGACTGGTGAAAATATGTGTCTAGGAAGGCCAGTTTTGATAGATTGATCAGTTTTGTAAGATTATTAGAGGCTAAAACACTGCACAGTGGTAAATGGAACTATGAGACAGCGTTTTACATGGTTGTAATGTTTGCCATAAATATATTCTGCGTGAATAACTATTGTTGGTCTTGACCTTAACTGTTCCCTGTATTTGACTCATGAAATGGTGTGTGTGTGTGTGTGTGTGTGTGTGTGTGTACATGCACATTCGTGTGTGTACATCTTAAAAACCCACCTAAGCTGGCAGGAAGGATGTTTGTGGTGGGGCGTCTGGGCTGAAATAAACCCACTTCCTCTTCCTCCTCTCTTGTGGCTCAGACAAAATGTGTGAGCATTTCCGCCCGCTCCCGCAGATGCACCGTCCCGCTCCTGCTGAGATTGTGATCACTCCCGCCCGCGACAGTGTTTCCTATTGAAAACCTTTCTGCCTTATCCTGCAATTAAAACAAGACACGCAGCCCAATTTTGCTTAAGGCTGTAGATGAAAACATTATCGATCATGTCCCTGTTTCCCGGATAGTTAACTAAAACCACATGCGGCAGTGAAATTGTTACCATTTGCCAATCAGATTTGGATTTGGGGATGGCAATGTTGTTTAGTGTTACTGATGTTTAAATTAGATTTATTCAACTGACTACTTGAAAACCAAATAAAGAGAGCAAGACAGGGAGAAAGTCAGTGTGTAAAGAAGAGAGACAAAACCCAAACTTACTTTTTATTAGTAAGGCATGTGGATAGATAGTGGAACATGCATGGTTAAGCCCACTAACAGCCTCAGATATCTTCATGTATGAAATTTCTTCCCACACACTCATCCAGTGATGATGATGGTTAGTGCCCGCTTCCGCCCACATTAGAGTAAATATATCCAGTTGCAGTGTCGGCGTCCCTGTGGGGTGATAGAAATGGACTTTGCTGTCCTCTTGAATCAGATGATTACACAGCCAGCTGTCAAAAGTCATGTACTTGTCCCTGACATAGATTAGGTTGGACACACACACACACACACACACACACACACACTCATATATGCATCAGTTGCACACACCATGTGCACCTGCACTCTGCATCTGCTTGAACATGGCTCAACAGATGTTAAACTGTGTGTGTCTTCCACTGCTAGTGTGTAACTGTTATCCGGCGTGTGCGTTTTTGTATTTTCAGGTCAGTCTTCCCCATCCATCCGTCATTCAGGGTGCTGGCCCTGGCAGAGCCTCCTGTCGTGGGTGCCAGTACAAGCAGCGGCAGCAACAACAGAGGTCAGCAGTGGTTGGGCCCAGAGCTGCTCACTATGTTCCTCTACCACACTGTCACCCCCCTGGCCAAATCAGAGGAGATGGGCCTCATACAGGGACTGGTGAGACCTCCTCCATACTTAAATCTCCTGACAAATGTATTTTTTTTTATTGCACTGGTTACTGCTTTGTATATCTTTTGAATGTTTAACAATCAATGTAAGTGTGAACAAGCCAATATCATGTTAGTGTAACCATTATTGTGATAAAATGTTAAGATCAATACACTGAAAATGTATTTTTTACAACCTTATATTTTTCGTTGACTTTGTAAATTTTCTCAACACACACACATTGACAATAGATACATTTAATCTCATTTTCTTTGGTTTGTTAATCTTGTTCTGATTCCTGTTTAAATTAAGAAATTAGAACAAAATTACATTTTACAGGAGTGGCCTGTGTACAGAAACTTGCATCTAACTGGTAAAGATGGTATATTCTTTTTTTTAAAGCTAATGGAAACTCAAAAGGGTGAGTTTTTTAATAAAGAGGTGTTAATTATGTCAGCGGTCTTATCAGCAGCCTAAAATATAATCAGTAATTGTTATTTGCTTCTGTGCTGTTTCTTTAATTTGATTGTCTTCATTTCTTGCCTCAAAGCTTTTAAACAGTTGCACATTTTGTTTTCTCAGAGACATTTGAAACTCTGCTCTATCCAGGAAGTTGCCTTTGGTCTGCAATTGACTAGTTAGAGGAGAGACTTGCTAACGTATGTGTAGAGTTTAACAGTGCAGGGGCTATTACAGGGGAAACATATTCATCTGGAACTTATTCAAAGTGAGTATGAAAAATGATATTTATATGCAGTGCTCCTTTCAGCCAGGACTCAAAACAAAACAAACTGAGTTGGTAAACAAAGTTTAGTGCAGGATGTGACCGGGCATTATTGGCCTTTTGTGGAGCTCAGCAACAGGAATCTTTCCAAATAAATTGTGACTTGGCAGTCATACTGGAAAGGGGTGATGTTAAGCAACTTGTTGGCCTCACGCACAGTTACACACAAACTAAAATACAGACCTTGTTTGGCAATTCAGTGGGATGTTGTGTTGCATGGTTTGATTCACCTATTCATATGCCGGTCTCAGGTGTGTTGATACACTAACACAAACAAACTTTCAATTTGAGTTGTGGGATTAAACATGGTGAAGCTGCTCAGTAGCATTTGTGGTTTTGGTTTTTAAAGTTTATTTATCTCTAGTTCCTCTGTCACCTTCAGGCTATGGTGTCTATTTGTAATTTGATTCTTTAAATATTTGTTGTGGTGGTTTTGCCTTTTAAAGCACAGGGAGAGAGAGGAGGTGAATGTTGCAGGAAATGTTGACATTACATGATTAGCATCTTTACCACTTAACCGCAAAGACACCTGTTGATTTGTTGTGGCTTCTTGGTTTCATTAGCATTTAATATCCTGCTACCTGCCCGGCATCTCGACTTGGCAATAGACTGTGGTGAACTGTATTGTTTTCTGTTATTTGGTGTTTCATGTTGTGTCTTCACACATCACATGTGTATGCCCTGCACATTGTAGTTCGTAGTGTTGTTCAATTGTGTCTCTATTATTTTGTCCATCCCATTTATATCAGTGAGAGCACCCCAAATCCTTACCATATCCTCAAAAGTTGACTCAACACCTCTCTTAAACAGTTTCAACACAAAGTGAACATTATAACCTTCATGAAGATTTTTTGCAGGACTGTTGTATTAGACTGCAGTAATTTTAGCTAGGTGTGCCTAATTTACTGGCAACTTAGTGTTGTTATCTAAATACCATCCTCGTCATCAGTCCTTCTCTCTTTCTTTTTCTCTCACTTTTTAGACTGCTAATGTTCCAAAGGAAGCAGCAGAGCAGCTATTGCACCTCTCACACACTCTCCGCAAGACGAACGACCCCACCGTAAGTGTGTGTGTGTGTGTGTGTGTGTGTGCTTTTAGCAGTTTGTTTACATGTGTGATCTAAGTAATTTATTTGTGTATGGTGTGTGTCTCCAGGCACAGTCTCTGGCTTCTTCTCTCTCCACCAGACAGCTGTTGAGGATTTGTCGCCGCCTTGCTCAGTACCCCGAGGAGAACATCGCTCACGCTGTCAATAAGGCTTGTCTTGCCAGGTACACACACATATGCGCACTCACTCCGATTCCTGTTTCTGTGTTTCTAACCGGGTTGTGATGCACCTTTGTAAATTTTCTATAAAAGTGCATTCTTTTTATGATATATGGTTGTGTACATGAGTGATTAATTATGTGTGCTTTAGGTTCCTGCCCAGCCTGGCCCGGGCCTCTCTTGAAAAAAGCCTCGCCAACTGCTCCATACAGGACCCACCAGATCATGCTGAAAACACTCGAGACTTCAGCTGTAAGTTCCACTCTGCTATCTAGATACCATTTCTTAAGCTAGTCAACGTTTTTAAAAACATTTCATAGAGTAAGAAATTGCTGCTATTTTAGGGGTTTTCCTGGTTAAGGCTGTGGTTTCGATGGTAGACTGCCCATTGGATCACTATCAGTGTTACAGTATAAATCCTATATTTAATAAAAAAATTATACATCCCCTACATTTGATTTCTGTGTGGCATGTGTTAAAATCAACCACCATATATGCACTTTTTAATATGATTAAAAGATCCTAGTTATTGAAGTCAGCAACATTTTTTTTTTTTTTTTTTTTTACTGCATTAATGTTTTTTCCCCCCAATGTGTTAGTACATTGAGGTCATTCACGATGTAGCTCCCAGTTTCCACCTCTGACTTTAAACAACTACAGCACAGACAAACGTTTTATCTATAAGACACGGATGGAAAGTAAGATTCAGTATCCTCAAAGAAAATAACTATTCACACCAAATATATGGATTTGGATTTTTCTAAGAGCTGAGGCACAGTAATGATTTGAAAAATGTATTTGATTAGTGTTTTATTTGTGAGTTTCATGATCAGTGCGTGTATGCTCATAGCACCAATCAAATTTGTTGGGAGTTAATTTAAACCTGTAAGTGATTGTGGCATATTGGAGGAGTAATGCATTTCATATTAGCTAATAATGCTATTGATGTGGTCTAATTACATGAAATATTTTATTTATTATGCTGTAGCTACCGTCAATAAACTTGAATTATTAAAAAAAAAAATTGCATTAATTGTAAAACTATATTGAGCAGAATCTGTCTAGACTCCTGGTCAAAATATGGCCAAAAATGTTATCACGCTAAAAAGTTTCAAATCTTTCGATATTGATAATTGTCACGATATGTCAAATCGTTATTTCTTTCGAGTTTAAAGGTTGATTTTTGTGAAAGTTGAAGAAACCTGATAGTTAATTGTGGTTTAAACTCTTCTTTATGGTCAACACTTGATGCCAAACAGAGGATCACTTCACAAATCTAAGGTGGAACATTCAAAACAATTTTTTCAAAACAAATATTTGTCAACAAATATGCATGAGTAAAATTAAGTAAATGCTTTTTTTCAGTCAACAATATAAATATCTTTATAAAAAAAAAAATTAGGTCCTAATTCGTGTATGTTTCAAGTGAATAAAATTATTGAATATTTATTGAAAATTTCCTATAATGTTATTGAATATAATTATATCGCAATAATTATTGTTATTCTTTTATTGTCCAGCCCTAGGTTGAGGTATAAGGAACAGCTCCCTCCCCTCCATCAGTAAATATTATTAAAGAAGCTACCGAGTTATTGGAATAGAAAACACACACGAAGTGATTTCCTCTCCTGTATTTCTGTAGGTATGGTAAAGGATGGTGTGTTGACTATTGGCAATGTATCTGCTCCCATCTACAAAGCCAACGAGAAAATGAAGGTTCCAGACGTGCTCTTCTATGACAATCCTCAGGTAATTCCACTGGGACAACCAAACGTATACTTAAGTGAGACACATGTCACAATAAACTAAATCTCTAACTGCAAGATAACATTTCACTTAATACTTTTGATTGTAAAAGAGAGCCAAAAAGACGTTCATTTCTGGGACGTGAACCAGCTTTAATCACATAACGGCAGAAAGCCTAAGAATGATCTGTTGTTTTTATTTTCATTCTCTCAAACTGAGAAAGATCACTCTACGTATTCTTCATCACACAATATTCATCACATTGTGACTTCACATGAGGTCATACACTAATGAAAAAACAACTCTGATCCTTTCTTTTACCCCAGTCTATTTTTTTACTCTGTCCTTGTTGCAGTGTGTGACATTATTTCATTATGAAGGATTTTACTTTTAGTTCTGGTATTAGCGTTCATTTTCCAAGGCCATGCTCTTTGTTGTTCCTGCTAGGCCCTCTTCAGATACATCGTAGTCCTTCTCAGAGAGGCTAATCTCAGTCCAGGCCTTCCAGTAAAGTCTGCCCCAGCACACTTTACCTGACCTCTGATTTGCTGTTATTGATTCATTTAGTTGGATGAGAAAGCGTTTGGACTTTAATTGCATTGAAGGAATTCTTGTTTTTATTGAATCGCTGTAGTTAACTTGTAGTTGTTTTCACTCAATCACTCGGGTATGTTGGAGCCAGTTTTTGTAACTTTCAGACATCAAAAATACGACATTCACACCCACTTTATGCAGTAATTGTCCAAGTTTGTATGCTGTAGGTGTGAAAATGGGCAGAACTCCAAGCACTCAGCGAAATATTTTCTCTACATTCTTCCCAGTCCTATTTTGTCACTGTCCATGGTCAAACCTGAAGAGTGCTCGCTTTTGTGCTGGCACAAAGAGGAAAGCAAGCAAAACTGCCAGTATACAGTACACAGGCATACTGTTCCTACATCTTCACGGTTTTAAATTCAACTTTAAATTTCTATGTTAAGCACACGTTAAGATATACAGCAGCCTGGAAGCTGTTGTGCTTATAATATGTTAGTCTCAGTATCATGTTTACTGATCTCTTGTATTAACATAAATCCTACCTGGAGATAATGACTTGACTGTACCCCATTAGTGGCATCCTCCAGAATAATGAATAGGTTGACGTCAGCTGATGACATTTTGTTAGTTATCAGTTACTGCTCTGCTCAGCAGTTAAATTCATTTGATTTGAGTTTAGTTAATATCAAGTTTGGAATGTTTTAATGGAAAATGACGTTGAAGAGACTTTTGGATAAATCGACACGCCCATGTAAGGTAGAAGTTAGATTTTATCAGGTGAAACATTTGTGTGCCAATTTTTGTTGGCGTCTCATGTCTGATCCCCATCTTATTGGCTGCTGAGGCCCAGTGTGACCGAACCATAGCGTGCCCAGAAAGGAACCAGCCAAGGAAATGACACTGTGACTTCCTCAGGCAATACTGATGACGCTGTGTGACCCAGATTTTTCTCTTTCCCTCTCTCTTTCTCTCTGTCCTCATTCTGCCCTTTTTCCTCTGCCTGCTTGTATTAGAGACTGAAATAAGATTGGAATAGGGTGAGATAGGATGAGAGTAAGAAGGATGTTCTACTTTTGAATGACCTGTTTTCTCTCTTCAGAGTAAAAACACAGTTGACAAAAGGCAAACCTCCACATTTCTGCACAAACCCATGTGGTTTTAAGATCAAAAGGAGACAACAGTGCTTTTTTTCATATGTGAAATGCGATTCCGTTTCTGAACTATTTGTCAGTTGAATGTTTGTCTGTTTAAATCTCTCTGCAGCACATGATGGTGATGGAGGACATGTTGAAAGACTTTCTATTGGGAGAGCACCTCCTTCTGGTGGGCAACCAGGTGAGTGCAAAATACTGTAACTTCTGCTTTAGTTAAAATTCCCGACCCCATGTGGAAGAGAAGTTATGAAACCAGCTCCCTGCACCCTGATGTCACCTTCCAACTCCTTCCGCTCACAGCTCACTGTGGGCATGAGGAAGCATGTAGCACTTCCTCAGGGACAGTCTGTGCCCCCAGTCAGGTCCTGATGGGCAGGGTTAAAGGGAGGAGGGAGGAGGAGGAGGGAGTGAAAGTGACATGTTGTACTGGCAGCCCAGGGGAGGTTGTCCGTGGGTGATTTTTTGCATTAATGTTTGTGTGCGCGCGCATGTGAGAGAGACTGAGTGGGCGAAGCTATTTGCAAATCTGAGTGCATGACCATGCATGGGCGAAGCTGAGACATTAGGAGCTGTCACAGCGGCTTACTGGACGTCTGACAGACTCTGCAGCCATCCAGGAGAGGCAAGCTCTGTGGGAAGCCAGTGGGAGTCCCAGAGAACAACCCCTGTCAGAACGTAGCACCATCAAAACTAAGGGACACACTCAGCTCTCAGTGCTGCCTCCCTACAGATGCAATGGACACCTCTTTATCTCTCTTCACAGCCTATTACCAGTTACTGAAACACAGTTGTGTATTAAGACTAATAGAATTTAATTGTGCTGGTTGCTGTTTTGTTCTCGTATCCTTCCATAGGGTGTGGGTAAGAATAAAATAGTGGATCGGTTCCTGCACCTTCTGAACAGGCCCAGAGAATATCTACAGCTCCACAGGTGAGAAGAATCAACATGTTATTTCAGAGTATGACACTCAACAAGTTGAGGAACTAGAAGATCTAAATTATGTCACATGTTGGCTTGGAAAAGTTTTTTTGAACCTCGACTTGTGAACTTTCTCTCTGCATCTAGAGTTTTGCAGAGAGTTAGGAAGAAATCTCTCTTTATTCTCTTTTGTAATCCCATTTCAGTGTTCAAAGCTTCTCCAGGCAGCTTCTCTTTTGTCTGACTTTCTCCATTCTGGGTCACTGTCTCAAACTTTCTCTGAGTGTCTTCTTCTAAACAAGCATAATAGGTTCTTTTAATTCTTTTCAATTCAATTTCTTTCAGACAGCTCATGTGAATCCAACTTGTGTATTGGATGGATGGAGTTTTTCTTGTGTGGGTCAGCAGCTGCAGGATACCTCACAATTTCATAATCAATTATCAGTTGAGGGATGTGTGATTAGTTTTGTGCATTAAAAGTTCACATTCTCAGGTTCAATCCATGGTGGCGTTTTTGGTTACTACTGATGGATATTTGAGAAGCTTTCTAGCAGAATATCAGTTTCTAAAACAGTCACCTGGATCTACTGTGGTTGCAAAATTGTGATCCTTTTCAGAAGTAATAATCACATGTTTCTTTTAGGCACTTGTAGTTATCTGATAGGAGCAACAGAGCATACTATGTATAAGGGAGATGTGAGTAGTCGTCATTTTCTCTTACAACCCTGCCACCCATTTCCTTCCCATGCATGGGTGTCACAATTTTCTTAGTCCTCAGTAAATTAGGCCATCTATTACCAGAACAAGGACTTCACATGCACATATTAAAGATAAACCATATTAAGAAGTCCCTGTTAAATCAGGTTCTTTGCCTTTTAAAAATAGTCATGATCACACCTCAGGAAAATTAGGTCATGGGTTACTCTTCCATAAATCAATGTGTGAAATCAGCCTTGTAGCGTAGATCAGTCAGAGGAGATGGGCCTTCTATTGATTGTAGTACTAATAAGAAGGTAATGTTATGGGTGTCAGTGACTCTGTGATAGGCAAAAGACAACAAACAGGATGGCAATAAAAGTCATCACTTGTACAGACCTGAAGAACTGAAGTTATGCAAACAAGATTATATTCAATCCTACACCAATGGCAGATTCTCATTGTGGTGCGCAATGACATCCATGGTCAAACATCAGCATGCTCTGCGTGTGTGTGTGTGTGTGTGTGTGTGTGTGTAGTTTGTCAAAGTTGTGTGAAAGTCAAAATGGGGCAAACCATGGATGTGGCCTGGTTACTACTGTAACAGCAGCTATTATTAGACCAGGGCAGAGGCAGGAAGATCTGTGCATGTGGCTTTTGGGAGCCTGTGACTGAAAGCCTACAGAGATGTGGCTAAGAAAAGCAAGAGAGATTCATCCAGCCAGGAAGGAAACTAGGACAGCTCCTGGGTCACACTGTGAGATATCGAGGAGAGAGGGGTGTAAGGAGGGAGGGCTGGTAGGTGGGTTGAAGAGAGAGAGATGTTCAGAGAAAGCAGAAACCAGATATGGAAATGCACTGTAGATGTGTGAGATCTGTTCACTGATACCACCTCACCTGAAGGGTAATGGATGCCGTTTGGCCACTGAAACAACACAGTATAAGTAGAGCTTATTATTTTCAATATAATCATGTAAGGTTGTTTATTTCAAATGGAAAAAACAGGTTAAAATTGGATTTTTATGGTATATGTAGTAGGGTTGAAAGATTCATCGATTAAATCAATTACTAAAATGCATCGACACAAATTCTTTGCATTGAGGCTTTGTTTAATCCATATAACTATATAGCACACTGTTTCGTACGGACATTTATTACTGTCGCACATCGCGCTTACGCTGCGAACACAACGTGATTATGATGGAGCTGTTTGCAAAGTGGAGGAAGAGAAAGAAAATGGCGAGGGACGAAGAAGAAAGTGTCCAAAGTATGGGATTATTTCAAGCTAAAGAAAACAACAACTCTGATGTTACCGTCCGTCCACCGTAAAATGAAACTATTGTCGCCTCGGCAACAGCACAACGGCACCTGATCAGAAAGCAGCCGGTGTTCTGCCAGCGGACCATAGACAACAGTAACAGCAACTTTAGCATTTAACTGAAATCCTGATTGATTGTTGAGTTGAAGCCAAAGTAAGCCGCAGTCCTCAGCTGAAAATGTGACCACGTGCGTTTGTTGTTCTCCTTTTTGGGCCGTGAGCTATAACCTCACAGTCATTCGTTAACTGGATGTCGGGGAGCTGGACCTTTTAACTCCCCTGCAGCTCTCTCTGTAGCTCAGACAATCCCTGCTACCTGCGTCTGCTAATCCATCCTTTCACTAGGGGTGGGGGAAAAAATCAATACAGCATAGTATCGTGATATTTGCCATGGCAATACTGTATCGATACTTTGCGTCCATGTATCGATATTTTATTAATATTCCCATTATTTTTGGTACTAGAATAATAAAATCTTTTGCTTTTTTAGTCCACTAGAAAACTTAACAGGACCATATAGAGGACGGAAAAAGTGATATGAACAAACAGAGAAATGCATCTTTTTAGATAAACGTATGTTGAGTAAGTTTGACTTTAGGGATCTAATTGGTAGTTGGAAAAAGGTAGTAAATTACAATATATCTCAATATATTTAAAATCGCAATAAAATTGAATCACAACATAAATATCGTGATAATATTGTATCATGGGGCCTCTGGTGATTCCCACCCCTACCTTTCACCCATATTTTTATAACTGTTATCACTGTACTAACTTGGAGAAATTACACTCTAAAAACCCCTCCAACAACGAAAAATAAACCTTTCACCAAAACAGTTCCTTAATAGGTGACACCACCTGTTTCATATCTTCTCTTTCATAGTGCTGCTATCACTGGTACATATATCAGAACATTTTACTGTACTAACTTGGAGAAATTACACTCTAAAAAAAACACTCCGACCGCAAAAACTAAATGGACAGTTAACATTTCTGAGAACTTTGACCTGTAAGGTAAGTAAATAACACTGCTGACGGCTGACCTGACCACGGTTTTGCATTCGGCGGCTCACGTTACCGCAGTTCACAAGACGGCAAGTTGTGTAGTCATCGGCCTACGCTGAAAGTCGTGTAGTCTGCACGAGCCTTTAGTATAACTTGTTTCACTCTGGTGATGTTTGTGTGCTGTAAAGCAGTTGTCTGGTTGTTGGTCTGTTGATGTTGTTGGTCTGATATTTGCTGCATGACGCACTATGAATTTCCGAAAGGACCAATAACTATCTAGGCCTATCACCTATAAACGTGCACAGGTGATGCCGTTACCGGGGGGTCACCGCCGCCACCACCAAGCAAAAGTATTTCTTAAACGACGCATCGATGAATCGTTGAAATAATCTATAGAAGTTTCGAGAATTAAAATCATCGTTAGCTGCAACTCTAAATATTTATTTTTTCTAACTCAAAGGAACTTATAATCAGCACCTAATTTGCCTTTTCTTACCATCTTTCACTTCACCTCTTTATAACTGAAAACTTTTCTGAGGTGTGTTTAGCAAGAAGGCAACAGGTCGCAGCACAGTAGGTTTTGTATGTGTAGGGGTATACATTTCAGGTAAAAATTATTACCTTTTTATGAAAATCTGGTAAAACGAAAACAATGAGCGTTAATCATATTTGTCTATACTTTTATACCTTGCATTCAACCCAAAACACACTGGCACACACTCATATAAAAGTCTGGGATGCAGGCATACTATCAAATTTTACCAGGTTACATGTGGTTGGGAGCCAGTTAACTATTTGGATTATTATTGAAAAAAATATATTCCTAAGAAACCTTGAAGTCAAGCTGCAGAGGCACATTTTCTATATTTTATAATAAATCCACATATTTTTTAATTCTTTTAAATATACATGAAAGCAAAAGTGCAATGGCTTTTGATTTCATAAATGAATACCTGAACCCTGTTTTGTTCTCCCCCAGGGATACAACCGTCCAGACTTTGACCCTGCAGCCTTCAGTCCGAGATGGCATCATCATGTACGAGGACTCACCTCTGGTCAGTTACTAACACACACACACACACACACACACACACACACAGATATTTCCTATATGTTGGGAGGATAAGTCTGCGTTATTGCTCTGCTGGTAGTGGTAGTGTTCCCTTCAGACCATCTGACAGAAACAGAACCCCATTTGGGACATTGGGTATGTTAAGATGAGACAAGGAGGCGGAAACCAAAACTAACGGAAACACTTCTCAATTCAAAATCTCACAAAAAAATCCACACACATAAAGTGCAGCTCACACTCCCAAACAGAGCAAGGTTGGCTTCAGTTTTCAGATGTTTATATTGCAAAACTCAAAAAAACAGCTACGTTACTACTCTGTCACAGACTGGCTGCGATTCACAGTGCAAAAACAGAGCCTGACACCACAATGCTCTCACTACAGTCCTTCCTACAGTCCTGTTAGAAGCCTGAATAGAAAACTCCAGAAAAATCCAGTGCTGGTTTGAATAGACTTCTGCACACTTACTCAGACCTCATGAAGTCTGATAAGACTGGGGGCCAATCTGCTGGGTCATGTGGTGGAGCAGCAAATGTTCCATTAGTGTCTGAGCTGCTTGTATCTGATGCTGGCTGTACATCTCTGGCTGTGCTACTGGCTGAGGCCGGATGTGGATCAACTGTTTGTACTGGCTGATGATCCAGCATCTACTCTACTGACAAACTGGCTCCTCCAGGTTTCCTTCAATACATTTTCAAATATAAGATACTATTTATAAAATGACTGGGCTGAATATGTGATGCTTATTATTTACTCAGATGTGCATCCATATTGCCCAGTCTGCTCCACTAATCAGCTTTTTAATAGTCAATGTGAATTCACTGCTTCCCATCTTGCATTAGTCCAGTCCGTGCCTAGGAGGATAGTCCCTCTTCATCCTCTCATCAAAGTTGTAAATATTCGCGTTCACCTTTGACTGGAAAGTGAGGCGGGGCCGTCCAACTCTGTGCTGGACTGTCACTACGTATGCCGTGTGTCGGCACCGAGTCGGCTTTATCAGTTTTACAGTTGTGTTTCAGTGCAGCTCCACTCAAGTGTGCTGCCAAGACAACTAATACCAATGTAACAAGGTCTCGTGCAGAATGTAACGGAGAAAAAGTCGATATTTGTCATTGAAATGTAACGAAGTGAAAGTAAAAAGTTGCAACAACTAAAAATACTACTAAAGTACAGTAACAACGTATTTGTACTTTTATTTATTTGTACATTATTTTCCACCACTGTTCCTTTGTAATTTCTTCAACAGGATGATTTCGCTTTTGCATATGTAGTAAATCTTTTAAACCATGCAGACTATTGACTCTGACAGTGGTTTTACACCCCAGTAAATCTAGAAAAGCAGCCATTTATTCCCCATAGACAACACATTGTGGCCCCATACACAGTGATGTGATTACATGTTAAAGTAGTAATTATTGTGAATGGACTTGACAAGAAAAGCTTTAAAATTGCACCCCAGCCACCCACGCAGTAGCTCAACAATAACTTCCCATTTTGAGTCTCATGCACTGCACAATTTCAAAAGTTCTCTGTCTAAACTGTCTACATGTGGGGGTGACATAAAGGCAGCACTCCTTAAGCACTCAAGTTATAACTTTCAGCAATTTACTTTGGAGCAGACATTAACTAGAAAAGAGTCATCAAATGTGTCCTGCTCTGTGACTCTATGTGGCTGCATTCAGTGAGTGAGACACAGCAGCAGATTCCCACGACCGCTCAGCGGCCAGACTGAACCAGGTGCCCCAGTGTCTGACATGTGGGGCATATGTGAAAACAGGTTTTACTTGCTCTGACAAAAAACAAGACATTGTGGTCTATGTGTCTATGCCACAAGCTTCTATACTGTACCCACAAATCTTTCTCTTTAAACCTTTTTTCTATCATACCAAACCTTCACTGCTCCCTTTGCTGACTCACCTTCTGTCTGGAGCAGACATTTTGACTTGTCATGGCAGAAAAAGCACAGGTGTAACTAATAATATTAATGATGGCTCCATTACATTGAATGTCCCAGTTAGCCATGCCAATGAGCCAACATGCTTAATAGTAAAAACTGGAACACCGACATGAAATGAAGCCACTACTAATGCTGCTGTGACATGTTAAAATGTCTGCAGTGGAAAAGAAGCCATATGTCTATGTACACCTTTTCTGGAGTGATCAGGTACTGATAAAGGTCAGAGGGCCAAAGAACTGAAACTAAACTAAAAGCCCTGCACCCGCCCACGTGTTTTCAGTATTTTTGTTTGTCAGTTTGAAATTGGGCACAGTTTTGCAGAGATTTACATGAGGTTCAATTTTATTTATATACCACCAGTTCATAACAGAAGTTATCTCATTGCACTTTTCATGTAGAGCAGGACCGTTGGAGGTGTCTGGACCTTATTCCTTGTATTATTTATAGAGACCCAACATTTCCCACCATGAGCAAGCACTTGACAGCAGTGTCAAAGAAAAAATCCCTTTAAACAGGCAGAAAACCTCGAGCAGAACCTAGACTCAGGGTGGGCGGCCATGATATGATAAATGCTAAAGTTGTCCTACCCTAACAGGTGCAACAGGATAGTAAGGGACGGTGTGTTCACACCATCCCCAAGGAATAACTCTGGGCTGTGAGGTGATTTTGGTCTAGTGGCCACACTTGGTATTGTATCACATGACACACTGGCCCAATAAACGCTTTCTAGTATGCATGCTCTATAGGCCTGACATTTATTTTCAGCTTATAAGCCCTGTAGTAAAATGAACAGCAGAATTAATTGGGTGCTATCTTGGAACACAGTGTACTTTTAATACATTCATGGTGCACACCTACACGGTCCTTGGATGAAGTCTAAAAAGTCAAAATAGGTGAAAAACCCTGGGTGGTTGTGTAATGTGCATGTTTCCTCTTTTAATCTAATGTAGAGGTTCAGCAACCCTTTGTAGTACATTTTTATTTTGTAAAGTAATTTTGTGTCTATATATGTGTATGCAGGTGAAGGCAGTGAAGATGGGTCATATTTTAGTGATTGACGAGGCAGATAAAGCTCCTACTAACGTCACATGCATCCTCAAAACCCTGGTAGAGAGCGGAGAGATGATTTTGGCCGACGGACGCAGAATCATTTCAGGTACACACATATACGCACAGTCACACACACATGCAGCGTTTACCATAATGACAGTAGACATGTCCCAGATACAGTGTGCAGACAGAAGTAGGACCGTTAAATGGACGAGTTAAGGATTGGATGTGCTAGAAGACAAACACAAGTAAAACATCAGATGCAGGCCACTAAAGGAGGCTCAGGATAAAAGCCTTTATGGACAGGTACCAGTAGATTCTGGATAATGCTGGACAGTAAACGTGTTTTTCCAAGTAGTCCCACGTAATCACACTAGTTGCTGACAGCTTCTCCACTCCTTAGCGACTCTTCCTCCCAGAGGAATGTAAATACAACCTTGAGACTTCATAAACACAAACTTGAGGCAGCTCCCACTGCTATGAGGACAAAGTAAGTCACACAAATATAATCAGAACATTAAGAATTTAAAAAGAGGGTAGAGACAGAAACAGATGTATGAGTGCTTGTTTTGCTGTTTGTTTGTTTGTCATGTGCTAACTAGGACTATGTCTCCTCAAAAGATCCACACGAAGCCAAGGGGAGGCCCAACACCGTAGTCATGCACCCAGACTTCAGGATGCTTGTCCTGGCTAACCGACCTGGTTTTCCTTTCCTGGGGAATGACTTTTTTGGAGCTCTAGGTAGATACACATGCACAACACCCACAACAGCAAAGGACTAGTAATCTTCTCTTTTAATTAATAACAAAGTCCTATATCTGAAAACTAATGGACTTGGATGAAATTGGGACTGAAATGGCTCCCAGAAGAGGATGTGATCTAATTGATTTCTGCCCTGCTGGTTTCATGGGTCCTCAGACTACTACATTTGGTTTTTAATTATCCATAGAAAACCGAGGGCCTGTCTCAGGAAGCAGTAGACCGCAGGAAACAGTGGCAATGGCAGCAAGTGAGGGGAGGTAGAGATGCGGAATGACATGCAACAAAGGTCCCCAGACAGACTTAAACCGTGGACATTGCAGCTCATGAATCCCTAGGCCACCAAGCAAGCTAATCCAAGCAAGATTTCTTTTCAAGTCAGACCAAGTTTTACTTGCAGCAGCCGTTCCATTCCTTGCCTGTAGATGCTGCACATCAGCAGGTCTACATCTGCAGGTTTAAATCGCTGCCACTGCTGCTGTTACTTTGTTGACTGTAGGTGGCACAGCTTAGACTGGAACTTGGCTGGTCTGGCTCTGCGGCTGCTGTGTTTCTGCATCTGGACTATATTGTCAGGGCCTAGTTTCGGGCGTTCTGCATCAATAACACTGTTTGTCCTTGCTGCAGAGCCCAGCAAAGTACGAGCACTGAACGAGTAGCATTGCGTCAATGCAGTTTAGGTAGTTTTCTTTAAAAAAAAAACTATAGTATAACCATACAAAATGCGGAGATATTTATTTTAAGAAATTGAGCACTATCACTACAGGAAAGGTTGACTAGTTATCGTCCTCTGAACAGGTGATATTTTTAGTTGCCATGCTGTGGATAATCCAAAGCCCCAGGCAGAGCTGGCAATGCTAAAGCAGTATGGCCCCAACGTTCCCGATTCAACTCTGCAGAAGCTGGTGGCCGCCTTTGGAGAGCTGCGGTCAATGGCCGACCAGGGCACCATCACCTACCCGTATTCCACCCGAGAGGTAGTCAACATTGTCAAACACCTCCAGGTAAGACGACACACTTTAACAAACACACAAGATACATATCCTTCAACGGTACAACACTTTTTCTTTTCTTTGTTGGATTTTTTCACGGTTGGTCTGACACTATTTTTCATCATTAATTCATAAAGATTATGTGTCCTTAATCCTGCACTTCTAGATGCTTTAATATTACAAGAGAGTCCTCACAACACAGTCATGACAGCAAAGGGAGAGGGTGTTCCTGACTCAGTCCTCTTGGTCTTTTCTTTTTTTATCATTATCTGTTATGTATCACATTATCTTTTCTCTTAAAGTATTTATAACTATATGCCAATTAAATTTACAGTACCCGCACCCTCATCTCCGCTTTATCTCCCTACCCCCTCCCATTTCACCATTTATCCTTCTACTTCCCTCATTATTCAGAGCCCACAAATTTGCACCACAAAACATCCATCTAACTTAGCAGATAACTGTGAGTAATTATGGTCATGCTTCACTTACGCGTCCTTTGGAAGTCTGACATCATGCTGAGCGTGATCCTTGTCCTACCACACTTTGGATTAAGTCTGAATGAACCACATACCAAATAGACTACAATGGGGACTCCATTTGGGAAAGGAAAAAAACTTGTTCGTGTGAATGGCAGCATGCAGCAGTATACGCATGTGCTTCTTTCATTTGCATTTGGTGATCAGGGTTTTCACGTTCACCTGTCTCCTTGTGGTCTTAAGTCTTTAGGAATGTACACATTGTGTAGGCCAGAGAGCAAGAAAAAATAACAGTGAGAGACAGTAAGAACAGGCCTTAGAGAATAGGGAAATTAAGATTCAAGCTTGCACTATTGTATCAATAATTCAGTGCACAGGGACAAGCCCTTATGTTTGATTTCCCCACTGGCCAACCTGTTCTGTCATCAGTCACCACAGCTATTGATGTCTGCAGGAGTGGGATTGATATAGGATAATTTAGTCGCTTCTTTTTAAGCAGTAACCAATTTAGGACCTAATTACGATTTTACACTTCACATAATTGTACCTTTGCTATACCTCTGAACCCAGATCAATACAGCCCAGTGCTCTTTAAAGTCTATGTTTTAGTTAGGACCAGTTAGGATGAGGTTTAAATTGATTATGCACTCATTTATTTAGGCCTATCAGTGAAAATACATCATAATATTTAGGTCTGAAAGTTGTAATTATGGTCCTATTAATGCCCCAGGAACCAGGGCTGTAAAGTCAAGACACGCTTTGAGATTACTCACGTCAAAATTGTAGACATAGTGCTGTTTAAATGACATGAATTCAAAGTAAAGGATTAGTTCATTTTCAATTGATTTATCAGGTATTTTATCAATTGATTAAAATAAGCCAGTACTGGATATTGAACCTATGTGGTTTTTATTATCCTGTTAGCTTATTTTTTCATCAGAGTTGTTTTAAACACAAATCTTTCCAAATTCAGAAGTGCTTAAATAACCCCTCGTGCTTAGACGTCTAACCTTTCAGAACTTTGGCGTAGTTTTGTAGACATACATGTTTCAAGATATCAAAAATCATTGTTTTGTAACTGAAAGTCCAGTATCTTGTGCAAACCAGCATTTATGGGAAACATATATACTTAGACTGTAAAATTGTCTAAAATAATGAGAAACGCCTGTTTAAAGTTAGGCTACTAGTACGTATACTTGTGTTTTCACACAGTTTTGACTGATCAGGAGAGAAGGAGACCGATTTCAGTTAGTGCAATTAAATGTCATTTTATTTTCATCAGCAATCTGGATGTTTCTCCACATTTTAGTGACTTGATTTACTGTTGAAAGTGTAGCCTCTGTCTCTGCCTTTGCTTATATCCCTTTCTTTCTCTGCCTTTTCTGCCTATTTATAAATACATCACCAAAATTACTGTAAGGCTGTGAGCAACAGCCTCAGCAAGAGAAAAAAAGACTTTTCGTTGCATGAGTACGTTAGTGTTGTGGTCAGAGTCTAGAGATGAGTTATCTTGCAGACAGCATGTCTTACTCCAGACTCTGTCCCTGCATTGACCCCTGTTGAAGACTTGTGAATCACATTAACTATCTTTTCTTCTCGGACCCTCCTCACTCCATCTTCTCTGCTTTTTTCCTATTCTTCTTCCTACTTGGCACCCTTCCTGCTCTTTTATCCTTTCATTCCTCTCACTATCCTCCCTATCTCTCTTATCCATAACTCCCTCCTCCATCCCTTTGCTTCTCCCCCTCTTCTCCCTCTCCCTGTGCCCCTGCTTTTTCTTTTTTGCCCCCTTTTTCAATGATCCTTTCCTACTTCCACCTAATTCCTACCCTATTGCTTCCTCTTCTCTGCCGTTTCCCTCCCATCCCCCCTTCCTCCCTCTTTGTCTACTCCACTTTTCCTCCCAACAGAAATTCCCTGATGAGGGGTTGGCCAACGTGGTGCGAAATGTCTTCGACTTTGACTCATACAACAAAGACATGAGAGAGGTTCTGATTGAAGCGCTGCATAAACACGGGATTCCCATTGGAGCCAAGCCCAGTTCTGTCAAACTGGCTAAGGAGTAAGGCATCAGGAGCACACGACACTAGGATGACACACTCTCTCTCTCACACACACACACACACACACACACACACTAAAGGCTCATACAGTACCTGAATAATGCACAGACATAGTGTCATGCAGTTACAGAGACCAGTCAGAAAGCAGTAAGAGTCGGGCTATGGATAATAAATGGCATGGGCATTACTTGACAGCCTACATGGTTATGTTATGTATCCTATTAACATTAGGACATTGCAACCATTGGGCCACCACAGCTAGGCAAATGTTCACCCAGTCTATTTTCACTGTTAATAACTGGATGGACCAAAACTCTGTAAGAGCTTGTAGTCAGCAGGCTGAGGTCAGAGAAGCACAGGTACCACTGACAGTTCCTGAAAATGTCATACACTCTCAGAAAAAGAGATTCTTCAGTAGCCACGATTGGAGAATCATTTTGACTTGCCGGGTGGAAGCCTTTCTCAGGTTTATCGGAAATCTATCTAAGAAACCCTTAGTCACCATAGCCTGCTTTTTACAGCAGTGATTATCTTTTGTGGGATATTTTAAGTGTACCAGAAGCTATAGATGCTTGTGATTTTCAGCATCATCTTAACAGACAACAGAAAGAAAAGATGATGAATAAATAACAGTTAAGTTGACATCACAAAACAGAATGAAGGCTGCATTATATTTTTAGTTTAGTTTTCAGTTTATTGAATTATAGTTTTATTTTGCTGTTATTCTGTTATAGACCAATATTTAAGATAGAAATAACAAAAGGTACAATCTATATTTTACTAATTAAAGCTAACAAAACATTATTTATATCGCCTTTTCAACCTCTAAATGTTCTAAAACTGTTCCTCTGACGTGGCTTTGTTATGGTTGTTGATATTACTGTTGTAACTCTTTGATCTTAAAAAAAAAACCTTCCGAGTGGCTTGTCAGCAGAAAGTGCTTCCTCAGAGGCCAGTGGTTCTGGTTAGAACCTCTCTTGCTGAGAGTGTACCGGTTAGACATATTTCTGATTTTAGAGTATTTGCAGCTTTTAGAAATGTAATCCTGAAGTGCTTGAAATCGGCTGACGTTGTCTTTAGCCCTCTGACTAGTTTCAGTTTTAGGCTTCCATGAAGTCTCCTCACTGTGTCCTGAAGTGTTAAATGAATGGCTGCGAAGATAATTCACATTACCTCACCTTTCCTTTAAGGGAAAAAAAGATTCTAATACCTACTACATTGTCTGATCATGTACAGCTTTGTCTTTTAAATAAAGGAAAATATTTGTTTCTTCTGTCTCTTGTGGTTTTATTTTGACTTAACGTTCATAAATTCAGTTCCATAAATCTCTCAAGTAAGATATCAGAGCAGGGCAGAAACAAGTATTTTCCTTGAATGATTACATAACTGATTGTATATTATATCTATTTCTTGTTATTATCAGATATACATGATCTATTCATCTATGTCTGTCCTTATATCATCCAAGCTCAGTGGGTCTTTTGTATCTTTTGGGATTACTGTTTTAGTTATTTAAGCCCATCACGAACAGTTTATATCCCACATCTCGTGTACATAAAAGCAAATATTTCATCTCTTCATTACCAATTTTGGACATGGAAAACAAAAAACTGTTTCTCTTATGTATCTCATTGCTTTTCCATTCCTAGAAATATTTATTGTTAGAGGACTGTCGGTTCTCCAACATGTTTATCCCCTTGGAATTTCTGTGTTTTGTGGTTGTGTTGTGTCTTTTCCCCCACCTGTAGCCACTAAGACTGTGGCCACAGCCCAGTTATGCTTCATGGGAAGACAAGTAAACAGATGGCCAGACACAACAAGCCAAGCATGGACTCGCACACATAGACACACATGGGCTTTACCCTCTCTAGAATTTTATTTTCAATGAAATCCTACTCAGAAACCCATAGTTTTCCAAAATGGAAAATTCCGAAACCAGCAAGATGTGTGACAAAAACACTTCCTATTAATTTGCATAGTTACCCACATCTTGATATATAAATATATGTCAGGAATTCAAAATTGTTCAGGTCTTACCAGGCAGTTGTCACCATTTGACCTTCAATCTTTAGGTTGCCCCTGCCAGAGGTCAAGATGACAGGGTACTGGACAATAAACCAAGGTGGCAATGCTCGACGCAAACTGCTCTGTCCCACTGAGACGCACCCTATCGACATCAAGGTAATCACGCAAGTGAAATGGACTCGATAGAAGATCTTAAAAGTTCTCTAGCAGCGGATTCAACAGTGTGTTCCCCCACATCTCCTATATGTGGTGAAACAGGGTCAGTATTTAAATAGTGATAGTTCATCCAGAATCATCCTCACCCACAAGAATTAAGTCACTGTGTTCAGGTATAATTAAAGTTACAATGGCTTCTAAGTATAAAAACATTTCTAGAAACTATTGTTTTGCTATATTAAACAGTGTCTTCTTTGTTAGAGGGTCATGCACCTTTCAGCACTGAAGCTCTGCTGGAAGCTGTGCATTTGCTGTATTGCAAAGCTGTGACTGCATGAAATACATGGATGCACCACTGAGAAGTGGATACATGCTACAGGAGTGGTTTGAGAATTGTCTGTGGAAACTTATCACTTTTGAGATCTTTGAGACCTTTTTAGGAGTTTCATGTGTAGTGTCATCTTGGCATGATGGCCTTTTCTGCACCTTTAGTTATTAGGATTTTATTTTTAAACAAGCAGCCCTGTGATCTAAATACGGCCACTTTAAAACAGTTGCACAGAATTTCAACCATAAACACCAGTGTTGTTTTCATATTTTGTGTAGGTACTATAACAGTGTATGTGTTGTGTTTCCAGGGCCCTGTGTTTCTGCGTGTGCAGGGTTACCCCTGCAACCGACAAGAAAGCAGGGCTTTGAGTTTTAGTGAAGAGAAAGCCCACTGGCAGATTCCCATGAACGAAGTCAACATCATCTGCGATGTCACCACCAAAGATGGTATATACACACACGCAAAGAAACACTATCAACACTGTCATACAACACATTCTCAGGTCTCTGGTCTCTTTAGGGAATATTAGAGGTTCCAGTGGATGAAGTATATCACAAAGGAATAATCTACGATCCACGAATTCTGTAACTGTAACCTGTCTTTCACTTACAGAGTACAACCATGTAATGCGCAATGCAATTAATGACAGCTTATTAACTACTGTAAGTCGTGTCGTTGTCTCTCATGTGCAAATGCAATAGTTGCAACCCTATTGATTGCTATTGAAACCAGTACATTAAAACTTCAATAAGCCGTTTAAATACATCAGTGTAATTTTGACAAAGGAGAAGAATGCATGGAATTAAACAAATGGTATCTGGTATTGTATGGTTCTGCTGCATCAATTTTCTTTCTCCTGTTTTAAACTGTCCACTACCAATTGCAAAACATCACATCTGTATAAAACCGAAAAGATCTACCTGATAGCTGGATATAGTCCAACATTACAGAATGGAGTACAATCCTACATTCCCTTTGTTTTTATCAGATGTGCTGTACATGGCCACGTGCAACCCAGTGTCCCTGTACTGCATGAACGAACGCGGGGAGACTATCAAGTGCATAGAGCTTTACGACGTTTTCCCCCGGACCATCAGTGGCGTCTGGCAGCCTTTTGTCACTGTTGCTCCCCTTGGGAATCCTCTGGATGGACAGGTGGTGCTGCACGAGGAGCAGGTTGGCACACCTACACATACATACCAGTACACACACAAAGACAAGCTTGTATGACTAGATAATAACACTAATTAGATTACATATCAATAGCTTTTTTTCTTAATACATATAGGAAAACTTTGCTGTCACATTAGAGTCAGTGAACATAATGTTGATCATATTAAAAGGTTCACTGTGGAAACATGTTTTTTTTTTTTTTTGTATAACACAAAACACATGGTGTGTATTCTTTAACCATGCAGTTGCTGCCCATTTAAAAATCAAGTCGGGGGGTCAGATGTGTGTCAGGGGGGCATGGCTCTGGGCTAGGATTTCTCAGTAGCACCCCGATTGACCGCTAACTCCATGGAGACTTGAACCTGGCAAATGAACAGTTGGCTTCATGAATGTTATAAAAATGTTTTGCCCATTAAGCCTCTGCTATGGCATCATCAAACGGGGCGGAGTCTGCTTTACAGCAGCATTTAGATTTCCAGACCAGGAGAGGGTGTCTAATGATCATTTAGAATGCTTTTGCAGTTTTGTCTTTTCTGTGTCAATATTTACACAACTAAGAGAATTCTCCATATTCATTGATATGAATATGTTAACGGTGTTACGAGGGAGCCCAAATGCAGCTCACACATTCAAAGGTTAGATGATTAATACAGGACTTTATTGCAAAATATGAGTAATGGAGGATGGGGGAGGTGTCCAGCTGATGATGGTGGGGGGTAAGGGGAAAATAGAGGATGGCAGAACTGAGCTGAGCGGGGAGTGAAGGCGATGATCCTGAGCGATTGGGAATCAACTTAGTTGCAGGAAAAAACACGAGGAGGTAAACTTATTATACACTATACTAAGGCAGCCGTGAGCGCTTTATATCAAACTGGCTGAAGCAACGATCTGACAACGAGTGGATGAATGACAAGTGTTAAAGTACTGCCACTAACTGTGACTGTCATCTGCAGTTGACATAAATGTCTATCACCTCATCCCCATGTATAGGCGTCATGTGAACAAGGACATGCATAACAAACAGCGCCACTAGTGGTCAAAAACACCAGCGAGTACCTTTAAAATAGTAAGAGACCTGGAGATTAAACAAGTTATAACAGAGCAAAGCTATGGAAAAGAACATATGGTTTCAACTTTATAGCTGAGTTGGATTTGATAGTGGATATCATTACCTTTTCATATAAACACTTAAGTACTGTAAACGTCAGCTTTATTGGTATTTATGAGGAACACCATAAAAGAACAATGTGGCGCGATGTGGAAATTGTTAGTAGTCATTGTTTTATTTACTAAAATACTCACACACTAACTGTCAGTGTTCACAAAGGAATCATATTCCAATCCCTTTTTTCCTCATGTCCTTGTTTACTGGTTAACATGTAATGTGACACTTATTTAACGCTGTTATTTAAACTGTTTTTTACTAGGACAACCGCAGATTCCTCAGATTTAAAATAGCTGTGCAAAGTCTGAGTTTCTTAAAATGGTTGGTGGTTAGTGGTTGTTTGCTGTTGAAGCTCTCTTACCCCATAAGACCCTGGCCTATGACAGCGTAAGACAAGAACAATGCATGTTAGCTATTTCTCCATCCAGAACTCTTGTACAGCTGGTGCATATTAGGCAAGAGGAGGACTTCTAAAAATACCGTTGTAATGGATCGTGTTACGTCTGTCTAAAAATGAAGAGGTCCAGACAACATAAAGTTCATTTACAGGTCATTGGCTTTCCAGGGAAATCAGGGAAACCATCACCACACACACACACACATATACACTTGCAGACACAAATGCAGGGTCTACTAGGCACTCACACAAGAATGCATGCGCACACATACTTGTGAAATAATACACAAACATAATAATGCTATATTCACGGGCATACAAAAACAAACTCAAGAAATTCAATTTGACACAGTAGCACAATGGAATGTAGGGAAAAAATAAAATAAAATAGATAAAATATGAATAATATATACAATAAATAGGTCTGTGTGTATATATGGGTACATTGTACATATATATGTGTGTATATGGGTACATTGTACATATATATGTGTGTATATATGGGTACATTGTACATATATATATGTGTATATATGGGTACATTGTACATATATATGTGTGTATATATGGGTACATTGTACATATATATATGTGTATATATGGGTACATTGTACATATATATATGTGTATATATGGATACATTGTACATATATATATACTGTGTATAAATAAATAATATACATCAGACAACCTGGGTGATGCACCACAAACGTGTGTGCTCACACATGTATGCAGTATATGTTTAGCATCAGGAAATGGAGTAAACCTTCTCTGAATAGCTCAACAGGTCCTCAGTACAGTAGTGTGTATGTCAGGAATGGGAGGCCATAAGGAAACCATTAGTGTGAAGCAGGGCAGCCAGGGCTGAGGCCACTCCCCTGTGGCTCCTTCTCATAAAACTCAATTGAAGATGAAGCCTAGTGCGTCACAAATGAAAGCCTTTTGCACAGTTCACCCAATACAAACTACACACACACACACACACACACAAACACACACACTGAGATATCCTACTGATCATCTGATATGAATTTAAGAAGCACATACTGACAAAATCTCTATCTAGATTTAATGGAATTAACTTGCAGTTCAGTGTTCACATTAAGTTAACAGGACATCAGCTCTCAGATCCAGGTGGTTCCACCTAGAGAGGAGCACCCTCTGCTGGCTGTGGAAGGGCAAAAGTTTATTCTGAATGATTCACTGTGTATCGCGTGCAAGCTCCAAATTAGGGATGGCGGTATAACTGGTATACTTTGCACAGCTGTAGAGATATGCACCAACATATGGAGATGGCTACACCTTTTCTTTATGGTATAGAATGTAAATTAACTAACTTTATCAAGAGTGTCAGTGCAACTCACTCGTTCAGTTGTAAATGTAGACGTTTATGCGACGTTTAAGCAAACCAAGAAGATGTGCATGAACAAGTGGAGACAAGCAAGCAGTAGCAAGACCAAACAATAAGGAAATGCGCACAGACAGGACGAATGCTTGAGAAAGCATTGTGGCTCTGATACAGGTCGTTCTAGCAGAGCAAAGAGCATACACAAATAAACTTTGACCACATCTCCCCCCACAAACACTCTAAACTTAAAACATGAACATAAACAATTTCTGTCTGAGTTTTGTACTGTATTTAAATCACAATTGAAAATATACATACAGGATATACCGTGATAAAGATGACTTCATACTGTCATAATTAAATAATTCATTCCCTCCCTCTGTCCATGGAAATGTGTTCTGTTTATGCTGGTTTGCCTTGTTATACTAGTAACAGATTAATCAACATATATTTTATATTTATTCATTTAGATGACGCTTTTATCCAAACTTACAATTGCTATATATGTCAGAGGTCGCACGCCTCTGGAACAACTAGGGGTTTAGTGTCTTGCTCAGGGACACATTGGTGGACGCGTCACAGTGCGGAGTTGAGCCCGGGTCTCTCACACCAAAGGCATGTGTCTTATAGACCTGCTTTCTAAAGGTTTTATCATATTTAAACCATTTTATTCTGAATCTGATTCTGTCTGCCAATCAATTTGTCTCTCTGCCAGAGTAACACCGTGCTGCATGTGGACATGGTAACAGGCGCCGTGCGAAGGCTCATGTTATCTCCAGAGAGTGATCAGCCCTCCACTAGAGCCTCGACCTGGTGGAGCAGTAAGGAACAACAGGTCAGAAGTTTCAGTGTCTCATCTCCACTATTCATTCAAGACAAATATTACGCTCCATGTGTCTCATTTTTACAAAAGGACTAGGAAACATTTACACATTACATATTTGTTTTTGGTGATGAATTAGAAAACATTATCCTGACCTGAGTGTTAATGTATTTCAAGGGGTTGGTGCAGATTACATTTCAAGGAGTGAAGACTGAACAAATCCTTCCAAAGCAGCGTGTGAAATGAATGTGTTGTGTGTATTGATTTTTGTTCGCAGGGAGGGCATAAAATGTGTCGTGACTTCGCCCACAAAAACTGGCTTCTCTTTTATAAGGAAGACGGGTAAGCTACTCCGATCTAGACTAGATCTTCCACAACACTGTTGAACAGCATCGGTCATGCGATGGTATTGATCGTGTGCTTGTGTTTGTGTGTGCAGAAACCAGCTGGAGGTGCTGGATGTGCTGGAGGGCCGAGTTCACTCCATCTCCCTTCCCATCAACCTGAAGTCTGTTTTCCTCGTGGCGGAGGACCGCTGGCTACTGGTGGACAGCAACACCAACAAGTAAGTGGGTGTGGATGGATTTCAAATCTCTCTGAGGATCTTATAGTTTGAATTCAATTGTAAGGCAATGTACCGTATGTATCACTGAATAGGAAGTTCCTCCTGACCAAGCCCATGCTTATGGCAGCTGAAGACTCTGGAGTGTGTCAGCTCCACAGCATCAACGAGGACTCAGTCAGCTCAGGCAATGGAGCCAGCACAGGTATATATATTGATAAGGACCTTTAGAATGGGCATCCCACAGCTCTAAACAAAGGTTAACAGGGTTTTTATGTTCTATCCAGCTGCTCTGTAGCACTTATTAAAGACAATATGTCAAGCCTGTTAACAGAACCAAGCTGACAAATGTCTGCCGTGAGAAGACCTCTTAGTGACTTATCTGTCATCTGGCCTTAAGTCAAACCAAAAATATCAAGTGAACCATGCATGTTTCAGTCAATATTAATTTATATTAATTACTTTCATGCCACTCCATGTCACAGTTAGTGAGAGCAAAAGGTGACGTCATAAGTAACATTCAGCAATCTAGACTGAATTTGCCCATGAAGGTTATAGGTCACTATAATAAGTCAGTGGACCGAACTGGGGATGGTGGACTGTATTGTAATCTAAAGAAGAAATATGTGAGCCCCTAAGAGGGTTTCTGCGGTGAGCTCACTGATTTAGTAGATACTCTGGCTGGATCTCTCACATGAAGTACTCTCCATATCTCTTTTCATACAAGAACAGAAGTGTATTATTTCTTTATTAAGTAATCTCAAAATTTGCTCTCCTGATTCTTTCTCTTTTCCACGATTCTCTGTTCGGACCCTTTACTCCCACCATCCCAGCTGAGGTGTCCGTGCCCCAGATGCTGTCATGTGAACAGCTACCCAATGAGAACCTCAGTGCCGCTCTGGACCAGAAGATTGTTTCACCTAACCGTGTACTGGCCGACACCGACTCCTTTGCACGGATCATTGTGGGCTTCCCAGACCTTGTGGTGAGATTATAAGCGGTCATAGGGGAAACATTGTGGGTTAATTTTTGCGACATGAACCAATCATTTGACATTAGATCTGCACTGGAAAACATTTTCCTGTGAAAGGTTTGTGTCAATTTCAGGTGTCTGGTATGACCACTGGTGCAGTATCTTCTCTGTACAAAAGGAAAGTACCTCTCTATCTACAGAGAAGATTAAGCAAAATATGAGACATTTGCAGTTCAGTAGTATCATGTTACATGTTTTCAGTGTTATTGAATGTCTTCAAACTCTAAAACATAATTTTCTACCATTATTTAAGGCCACCGAATTACAGCGTTTTCTAGTCTAGCTTTAGGGATCAAGGTAAATTTGTGATAACCCTTTGTGCCCTGCAGCAAGATGGAGCATTATTTGATCCCCAGCACTCTGCACACCCTGCATTTGCCATTTACTCTTACAGTGGGTACGGAAAGTATTCAGACCCCTTTAAATGTTTCACTCTTTGTTTCATTGCAGCCATTTTCCAAAAATCAAAAAAGTTCATTTTATTTCTCAGTAATGTACACTCAGCACCCCATCTTGACAGAAAAAAAAACAGAAATGTAGAAATTTTTGCAAATTTATTAAAAAAGAAAACTGAAATATCACATGGTCATAAGTATTCAGACCCTTTGCTCAGTATTTAGTAGAAGCACCCTTTTGATCTAATACAGCCATGAGTCGTTTTGGGAAAGATGCAACAAGTTTTTCACATCTGGATTTGGGTATCCTCTGCCATTCCTCCTTGCAGATCCTCTCCAGTTCTGTCAGGTTGGATGGTAAACGTTGGTGGACAGCCATTTTCAGGTCTCTCCAGAGATGCTCAATTGGGTTTAAGTCAGGGCTCTGGCTGGGCCATTCAAGAACAGCCACGGAGTTGTTGTGAAGCCACTCCTTCGTTATTTTAGCGGTGTGCTTAGGGTCATTGTCTTGTTGGAAGGTAAACCTTCGGCCCAGTCTGAGGTCCAGAGCACTCTGGAAAAGGTTTTCGTCCAGGATATCCCTGTACTTGGCCGCATTCATCTTTCCCTCGATTGCAACCAGTCGTCCTGTCCCTGCAGCTGAAAAACACCCCCACAGCATGATGCTGCCACCACCATGCTTCACTGTTGAGACTGTATTGGACAGGTGATGAGCAGTGCCTGGTTTTCTCCACACATACCGCTTAGAATTAAGGCCAAAAAGTTCTATCTTGGTCTCATCAGACCAGAGGATCTTATTTATCACCATCTTGGAGTCCTTCAGGTGTTTTTTAGCAAACTCCATGCGGGCTTTCATGTGTCTTGCACTGAGGAGAGGCTTCCGTCGGGCCACTCTGCCATAAAGCCCCGACTGGTGGATTGCTGCAGTGATGGTTGACTTACTACAACTTTCTCCCATCTCCCGACTGCATCTCTGGAGCTCAGCCACAGTGACCTTTGGGTTCTTCTTTACCTCTCTCACCAAGGCTCTTCTCCCCCGATAGCTCAGTTTGGCCGGACGGCCAGCTCTAGGAAGGGTTCTGGTCGTCCCAAACGTCTTCCATTTGAGGATTATGGAGGCCACTGTGCTCTTAGGAACCTTAAGTGCAGCAGAAATTTTTTTGTAACCTTGGCCAGATCTGTGCCTTGCCACAATTCTGTCTCTGAGCTCTTCAGGCAGTTCCTTTGACCTCATGATTCTCATTTGCTCTGACATGCACTGTGAGCTGTAAGGTCTTATATAGACAGGTGTGTGGCTTTCCTAATCAAGTCCAATCAGTATAATCAAACACAGCTGGACTCAAATGAAGGTGTAGAACCATCTCAAGGATGATCAGAAGAAATAGACAGCTCCTGAGTTAAATATGAGTGTCACGGCAAAGGGTCTGAATACTTATGACCATGTGATATTTCAGTTTTTCTTTTTTAATAAATTAGCAAAAATTTCTACATTTCTGTTTTTTTCTGTCAAGATGGGGTGCTGAGTGTACATTACTGAGAAATAAAATGAACTTTTTTGATTTTTGGAAAATGGCTGCAATGAAACAAAGAGTGAAAAATTTAAAGGGGTCTGAATACTTTCCGTACCCACTGTATATAACAAAGACATGCTTGTCACGTGAATATAAGACTCATAACAAGGCATATATATAAATGCGTGGGTCTGTGTATCGATGTTAATCCTGCAGTGGAGTGGCGACCCATTCAGTATGTTCCTGCTGTCAGCCTAATGTATGCCTGAACATGAATGATAGCTTGGTTAAATGAGGTACTCTAAGTGCTAGAGCTGAACTGATAAATATTAATATACTCACATCTAGCCTGAACAGCTGTGTGCTTGATGTATAAGTAGTCATATTTTCCTCTTGATTTCTTCTCTTGTCCAGTCCCCTAATGAGGTGTACAGCTTTAAGAGGCCTGTTGACCTGAAAAGTGTTGAAAGTGGGGCTCACACGTTTCTCAGAGGGGGGCTTCGGTCCAGTGCAGCCAAACGGGAGAATTGTGTCACTCTGCTGTCAGCCAATCAGGTGGTCCGAGCCCTTCCACCCAACAAGGTGCCACTGAAGGAGGTCTACCCCAAAGGTCGGGGTTCAGATCATTCAAATGAGCTCAGAGATGTTTACAGCATGGCAAATTAATTCAGAGAATGTAGTCAGTGTGTAAAGTTTTTTCTCGTTGTCACTCAGATGTAACACCTCCAATGACAGCGGCGTACCTGGAGGTGACGGATCTGAACTCCAAAAAACTCAAATATATTCCTGTCCCAAGGTAAACACAGCACTCCTGTTTCTTTCTATGGCTGCGGTCGAAAAGTCTTTTTTGCTTAGAAAGGTTCCTAACTGATTGAAATTACCCAGAAGTATTTAAGTGGCAGCCATGACAAGAGCTAGAGTTAATGCCGTCTCACAATTCCTTACGGAAATAACATTTAAAGCAACGCAGAACTTTAATGTCACCATGCCAGGCCCACGTAAATGTAGAAACAACAGAGCGTCTATTTTATGGTCATGACATGATTCAAAATATATGAAAATCCTTGGATTAGCTTAAATTCGAGATTTCTTCTTTTTCAAATCCGTCCAGTTGGGAGGAGTCTTGAAAAACAAGCATATTGAATTTCAAAATACAAAATTCACACAAAATATCTGTTATTTTAAGAAAGAAACATAGAAATTCAGACACAGGAGTAAAAATCTTGATGCCCTTTTGATGACTTCTCTAAGTGACTGTCCTGACTTTCCTACATATTTTTTTTTGGCAGGTCAATGAGTGTGTCACCCTACACCAGCTGGTTGGCCAAGGTGTCAGAGTCTGACGTGCTCCTAGCTGCTCTCGGTTCTGGAGGTGTGGTCACAGTGGATATGGGTGGGTACGTCCGGCTCTGGGAGACAGGATTGGACACCTTGCAGCGATCACTGATGGAATGGAGGAACATGATTGGGACAGAGGATGGCAGACCTTTACAGGTAATATCACAACTTTGTTTGAAAATCCTAAATGGTGAAGCCCTCTGTCTTGGATGCCTCACTGTTGTATCACCAAGATGAGAGAAAATAAAAATAGTGTGCAGCCTGTAATTTCTCTCAACACCACTGAGGGGCAGTGCTACTCTGTGCACAGAATCTCAACTGGACGTCACTCTGCATACTTGCCCCATTCTTGCAGAATATATTAGCTGCTAATCAGAATGTTTCCATGCCCAAAATGTATGACCCTGTACCCAGAGTGGGTGTGTATGAATGGTCGGCCATTGTGGTAGTGATGCAATAGATTTGACCCTTGGTATGGGTCAGAACATTCGGACCAGAATACTGAGAAAGCATTGTTAAGATTCCCACATACACAACACAGGCAGACAAATTCTTTAGATAATGTAGTCTCCTAGATGTAGGATGCATCATCTGCTGGTTTGTTGTTTGTGAACAAGGCGGTGAGAGAGCAAAGCTTTTACATGGACTTAAATGAGAAAATCAAAAAGGAGTAATACAAACTCACACACAGGACCTCTCTCTGGCTTAGATTCCTAAGAAGTCAGGTCTTCTCTGATGAGGCACCTTGAGTCCACTGAAGGTCAGCCTTAGACAGGCTCTCCCTGTGCTCTGTGTTAGCTCACTGCAAACAACAGTAGCACTACTGTATATAAACATACTTGCAAAAAGGGCTCTCTGTATATCTGCTCAGAGATATGCTACTTTACAAAACTTTTTACACACCTCACCTCTACACCAGCTTACCTGTTTGCATATGGCACATATGCATTACTTGCCAAATACCTTGTTTTTATGACTTTCTTAAAGAGTGTAACAATCGGGCTTTTGAGCAAGTGGGCAGTGGTGGCCTAAAGGTTAGAGAAGCAAGCTTGTGACCGGGAAGTTGGCAGTTCAATCAGGATAAATCTGGGTGTGTAAAGTGAAATTTACCACCACTGAGGTCCCCTTGAGCAAGGCCCTTAACCCCAACTGCTCCTATAGAGCTGCTCAGTGAATGAATGTGATCTTCCTGCAAAAGAGTGGTTTCCTCTCAGTGAAGGTTACAAAAAAGTATGAAATTAAAAAGCAGGAAATAAAAGAAATCTTCATGCTCACCTCTTTTTTAGTAACATGTTTCATTAGCAAAGATGCTCTTTTGTCCCAATAGGCGAAAGATGTGACAGCTCCTTGCCTTCATAATACTCTCTCTCCATGCACACATGTATTTCTGGACACCCAATTGTTGGAGTGTGTGTGTGTGTGTGTAAGCAAGTGTGCATGCAGGTGGGAGCTCCTCTCATTTGTCTTCAGCCTCAGTCTGACATTGCTCCATTACAGCACTGTTGACATCACCAATATACACACAGGACACATCAGTCATCGTCTCTCTGCACACACAACACATGTCTTTTGTTTAACTGGTGCTTCTGGTGCCAAGTAGGTGTCTGCAGGTATCTAGTATAATATAATCACGTTCATAGCAGTTCACTCTAACATATCCAGTCACTCAACCTGACACTTAATAGTACAATATGGTTGTTTTTACACCTTTATGTCAATGTCTGGGTGTTTTTCCCCCTCTACTGTACTGGTTGGCTGCCTGACACATTTTATGCCTCCCTGCTCTTACTCTTCTGAAGCTAGCTTATTAGTCACAGTCATATGCACATATACACTGTTTGCTCCTTCAAAGTTTAGTCTGAAACCTGTGTCACAATCTGCAGACAGTTGTAGTTCACAGTAACCTTGAAATATGCAAATAACATATTAGTACAAATAACATGTTATGGCAAGGCTGGTTACCACATCAGGCACTTTATACCAAAATTCAATAACAAATGACATACTTTTAGTTCTGACACACGTGCATGCACAGACAGGATTCTTAATAAAGAATATTTCATAATCAGGTATGAAATCACTCACATGTTCATGCTCTAGATATACTTGCACAGGTTCAGGCATTCATGTACAGGCGTGCATTGATACCATCCTCACATACACACACACACTAGCATGGACCCAAGTTCACACAGGGGCAAACACTTATTTCCGCAAAAGCACTCAAAATTGGGCTCATGCACATGTGTGGCTTGCCCCCCCCCCTCCCCCTGACACACACACACACACACACACACACACACACAGATGCCATCACTCTTTGTTTTTAGACGTCTAAAGGGAGAATCAGAAATTTATGGGGCTATTAATCCTACAAGACAAGGCGTGGACCGCAGATGAGAGATGGGGAGAGAGACGCTGGGTGAAGAAAAGAAAAATAGTGGGAAAAAACTCACTGAGTGAGGAGGATGGGGTAGAGACATTTATTCCCACAGTCATAAAAATGTAAAATTTTCTCCACTGCGTCGCCCGTCCCACACTCCCCTTGACTCACTTTCTGTTTCTCTGTCTCAGGGTTAAGGTGCCATATTTAACTTACTGCTTACCCCTAGGACCCATGGTAACAGCATCATAGCAACAATTATATCATTGTATGTTTTCTTATGCTTCACAACTGTGAAAAGCACGGATACCTATTAACTTCTGAAGGGTTGTTTTACAGCCTAAAGATGAGTTCACCGCACTTCATAATCTTGGCATTTGTTTGGAGCAGGAAAATCAGAAGCTAGGTGATTACATCAGATAAAAAAACTAGAGTTTTCTCCTATCTGATAGTAGCTAGGGTAGCTAGTGAAACTGATGGTCCTGCTGTTAGGTACCCTATCGGGACATGGTAATGTCTCACACACACACACACACACACACACACACACCTCCAGCTGCATTGCCCAAATAATAATAATATATAATAAGCTTTATTTATATAGCATAGTACAAAGTGCTTCACAACAAATGACACATAAAATGCAAAAACAAATAACCACGTGGGTAAAAGATACAGGGGGATAAAATACAGAATATAAGAACAAGGATCACAATAGAGTATAACAAATATGTTCAGTAGGACATAAGGAAGATGAGACAAGGAAACTAAATGATAAGAACAATAGGGCAGGAATAGTAAAACGAGTGGCAGCTCAGATAAAATCTGGATATGCTTTCCGGTAAAAGTAAATTTTTAAAAGAGATTTGAAGGAAGAAGCCGACCCTGCCAGCCTGAAATCCTCAGGCAAGTCGTTCCAGAGCCTCGGGGCCCTGACAGCAAATGCTCTGTCACCTTTTGTTCTTAGTCTGGCTCCAGGAATAGACAAGAGGCCCTTGCCAGAAGATCTTAGACCACGGGAAGGCTCATAAGGAGTTAAAATATCTAAAATATAATCAGGAGCCAAGCCATGAATAGCCTTAAAAGTAATTAGTAAAATCTTAAAATCAATCCTAAAACAAACAGGGTGCAATGATGCTAAAACAGGGGTGATATGATCATATTTTCTTGTCCTAGTTAGGAGCAGAGCAGCTGAGTTCTGTACAGTCTGTAACCTATTTAGGGTTTTTTGATTAAGACAAGTGAAGAGGCTGTTGCAATAATCAATGCGTGAGGAGATAAATGCGTGTATAACAGTTTCTGCATCTGTAACATTTAAAATAGGCCTTATTTTTGCGATATTTCTAAGGCGGCAAAAGCTGGACTGGACAAGTTTAGAAACATGATGCTCAAAGCATAACTTCCTATCGAATAACACGCCAAGATTTCTTGCAACAGGCTTCACGTGTTGTAGCAGGTCGCCAGAAGAGGGCAGAATTTGATTGATTGAGAGATGTCAGGGACCTATAACCAGGATTTCTGTTTTATTGGCTCTTTCACAACCAGAGTTGGAATCTGAACCGAGTGTGGCAGCTCCAAAAGTCACTCAGGCCAAAATGGACACACTGTAAAGCGTCACTCAACATTTTTCTAAAACCAAAAGCAGAGCATTAGTCACCCCTTTACTGGCTGTGACTGAATAGAGACTAGAGTCGATTGCCAGCATGAAGACACATTCACGAGTTATGTTGTCACCAGCGAGAGAGATTTATCTATATACAGTGTGATGACAAGGGTGGATTACTGAAAAAAGCCTGTGTTCAAGAAACTGGAATCCCTATATCCTCCTCTCTGATGGACAGATTTCCAAGACTCTTAAAATGAGCATCAGGGCCCAGCAGATACACAAACACCAGCCTGATGGAAGCGGTGGTGTGTTGGCAGGGGGGAAAGAGTGAGCGTGGTCGTGGTGATCGTAATCACATTAATAAACAGTCAGTGAGAATGATATGTCTAGCTAGTACAGCTAAGCCTTTGAAGCCACATTCCCGTGCATCAGGTGTGCACCCCCGTTTCCCAACCGGGTACAGGCATGTGTGCAGCAAAGCTCATGTTCTGTCGCTGTTTCTCTGCTGTATGCGGTGTATGACGCACACATACACATATGCATCACTGTGTAACCAGAGAGCGGTCGCATGGTGGAGGTGAGCTGCGGTGACACGAGTGGCTCAAACCTCTGAACCTTTACCTCGCCGCAGGGCTATGATGCCAAGCTCTCTCCGGTTACTGAGGTCAACCCTGGATCATCTGTTAGCACACACACCTACACACACACACACACTTCCTGTGGCTCTTCACTTACACTAGAATAATGGAAAGCTCCATTGATACACATATGCTGTGTTGGTTTGCAGCTGCATGGGACAGTGTGGATGTTTGTAATTTTAAATTGCCCATGTGTGTGAGACCCTGCTGATTGCTAAAAAAGCCCCTCCTCCATGTCTCTATTGTCATTGTCATGCAAGGAATGGCCTTATGTAGATCTGTAATTTCAACAGCCAACACAGCTGTGGTTTAGATGGTGTGATCATGGTGTGTCTGCATATGAGATATCTTCTACTGGCTGTATTGTTCTTACTGACACTGTGTTTTCGATACCAATCACAGAATTTATGTGATTTATATTACCGATTCTTTTTATTTTAACACATAAGAGATTCTTTTTTTCCAGAAGGATCCTTTAATTTGTTTATGGAACAATTGTGACCATAGTTATAAACCTAGTGGAATTGTTAACAGTTGAAAAATTGAAATGCTTGTGCTCTCTGGTTGACAGATACTGTAATGTCAGCATGTTTCTAAATTATCTAAATATATGTAAATGTAAATATAATTCTTATTTTAAATTTCTACTCTTGTGACTTTATGGTATACTCAGATCCACTTTAAACGGTATACCTATGAACTGTGATGCAATTCAGTACAATAAGCTCTGCTATAAATTCTCCATTAACAACCAAATATTAAGGATTATTGCCAAAAATGTTTTTATTTAGTCAAAACCCAATATTATTATCAGTATTGCTATTTTCTGAAGTAGTCCTTGTTGTGTAGTTGATCCACTAGAGAGGTTAAAGAGGACTACTCTTTGTTGGGAGAGTTTGAGTGTCTAGACCTGCTGGTAAAATGTGTGTGGAAAAGCAAATTCAGCTATTAAAGAGGTGGCCCAATGCACAGCATTTAAAACCAACAGCTGCTTCAGGTGTGCAGGCAGCGATGGAAAACCGCAAGAACACTAGGTGGATAGTATTTGGATAAATGTTGAGAGGCACAGTCTTCATAAACTCGTAAATTACCCTGAATGTGTTTGAGCAATAAAGTGAATTGTTTCCATTTGAAGAATCATGAGTGGGTTGAGTATATGAGCTGGTTCCCACAATGAGTATTATCTTGTTCTCGTAATCTGACATGGTTTATATCAGACTGACCCTTCTAATCTGTGCTAAATATAGAGAGCTCTGCTGATACGGCAGCTTCATGTAGAAGTGAGAAAAGAGCCTGAGCTCTGGGTTCCGCCGTGTGTGTCAGTTTGAGGTGTGAACAGTAAGAGAGGAGGGGCCCTTCTCAGCTGGACTGCTGTACCTACTAGATAAGAGTTCAACCGCTCAGACTATGACAAACCAGGCAAAAACAAAAACAGCAAAGACAATAACTTGTGCACACGCAGCTACAATCCACAAATAACAAGAAAAATTCATCCCCCACCGATACCATTCAAATTCCTGCAGTATGTAAATATGCAGCTGAACAACAGGGAATACACTTACTCTCCCACTGAACCTCTCTCCCTCCTTCATGCGTACCAGACTCTGGCTGGCCGCCCTGCCTCAGTGTGAGAGCCGGCATGCTGATTTTGGCACTGATGGTGCCATCGAGATGGACCTAAAAATCCAATGCCTTTACCCCTCTACCCTCCCCTTTGCTCTCCTGCAGAGAAATACAGAGCCTTTTCTGTCCATCCTGCCGAAACCTCAGACCTTAGAGATAGAAAGCCCATTCTCTTAGTGCTGTGTGGTAGGTAGCTGAGTGTTTGGGTGTTTTGATGGATGATTCACATGCTAATTCAATACATCAGGAGGTTAACACAAAGAGGAGGTCTCAAGAGAAGTTCTGTGAGCTTAAAAATACAATCTTATGTATCTCTATGTGGCAAAGAGTGATTACTTCTACAGTTGTGACCCAATGTGTTTTCAATGAAGCTTTTCCCAGGGAGTATTATTGTCTAAACACCGCAGTTTTTCTGATGCAACTGGATTCCCTGAGTGGTTTGGAATGTTATTCAATAACAGGTCAGCTAAATGTGCCAGCAGCATCTAAAAAGGTAAATACTGACAGTCTTTCATATGAACAGGACTTATTGAACAACTACAGTTACTGTAGTTGTTCATAACAACTTGTTGTTTCAGTTATTGTTCCTCTTGATGGGATGAGAGTGCAGAGGTCTGTTAGTATTTTACTTTTAAAATAAGTCGGAGCTACAGTTAGTGCCTGTTCCTGTTCACACAGTAAGTCAGTGGATTATCCAGAATAACCAGGATATTGTTCCTGGAAAACCAGACTATAGACATGGCAAGATACAAGTAGTGATGTGTAGAAAAAACATATAAAATATTTTCTTTTAACTGAGGCTTTAAGCCTTTTAAGCTACTTTAGCCTGTTTTGAAGCTCATCAGAGGTTAGCAGCTGCACCAATGTAAGTGAGTCTGTACTTAACATGTTTTCTGCATGTTTAAAAACTGACCCATGTGGCACATCTTGCTCCTCTCCTTTCAGATTACCATCCAGAGGGACAGAGGCCTGGATGTCTCTGCCCCAAAACATGGCAAGATCGACCCCAACAACAGTCCTCATGTTGGGGGAAACCAGTGGGCAGGAGGCACAGGTAACAAGTATTTCAGCAACATGCACCAAATATTGAGTGAAATCCGTGATGACATACATACATATTACTATGATTGATGGCATGTAAGAAGGTGTATAAATGAGACAGTGGTGTGCTCTCTCCTCTGCGACTGCTTAGGCTCCGTCCACACTACTCCGTGTTAGTTAACAAACGGAGAATTAAAACGAATACGATCTTCGTCCACACCAGCGTTTTAGAATTGATCTGCGTCTACATTAAAACGACTGAAAACACACAGCTAGTGCCCGTTCAGGTACACTGGGCGTGTGCATGCCGGTGTAAACATGAAGCAGATGGTCTTTTCCGTAGTTACAGAAGATTTGGCGCAAGAATAAAGAAATGCAGACAAATAATCAGACCAGAATGTTTTTGTGGTGTTATTTGCACGGTACAGAATATTTTAATAAAAATACCAAATCAAAAACTCTGTCAGTAGCACCGTGTTTCTGCTTTGCATGACTTATAAGACCCAATCAGAGAGCCAAGCTGTGCATCTGCGTCATCGTCTCTAAAGTCCTCCGTTTTGGCCCGTCTTCACCAAAACGCCCTCCGGAGTTTCAAAACGAAGAACGGGGTTGGCACCGTTTCCAAACTTCTCTTAGGTCTTAGGTTTTCGTTTTTGCCGTTTAAGTCTGGATGGGAGGTGCAAACGTAGCAAAAGGTCTCAGATTTAAAACGCAAATGAAGTAGTGTGGATGGGGAAATCTCCCCCTGCTCAACTGCTTAAGGGCCTAGAGAATGGTAGTAAAAACTATGTATACTAAGCAGCTGCCAGAATCAGATAAACTTCATGTGACTATGTGAATGTGAAGAAGGGTAAGCACAGTGGTGAAATAGTGTTAGGGTTAAAAATATAAACAGGAAAGCACTGATCAATATGTCATTGTGCTATGTTTACAGTAAAATGAAGGCCGATATTTTACTGAGTTAATAGAAACTCTGGTTAAAATGTATGGTTTCAAATCAGCGATTAATCATCTAAAGGGCCTCCGACAGCTGTGAATGGTTCATTCATAAGATGGTTCATTGCAGGTGGCAGAGACACGGCAGGGCTGGGTGGCAAAGGGGGCCCCTATCGTCTGGATGCAGGACACAAGGTCTACCAGGTTTCCCAGGCTGAGAAAGATGCAGTTCCAGAAGAGGTCCGCAAAGCAGCCCGTGAAATGGGAGAAAAGGCCTTCAAAGAAAGGTACGTTCCTTTAAGTACAAAAAATATAGTGATCACATGCTAAAAAAGGTCTGCTCAGTATAGGAAAGCATGGTACATCCTAACTAATAACCCATATCCAAACTGAGTTTGCTCCACAGGTGGGAATCTATGTGGAAGTGTACAGATGTTTTGGATTGACTGTCTTTTTCCACCTTGGAAATTACCCAGAACTGAAGTGTGTGATGTGTGTAATGTAGAACAGGTGTGTCTATGTGTGTGTGGGCCTTTTTGTTTTGGCCATCTGCAGGGTTTCTTGGTCAGTGAGCCGTCCCAGGTATGGTGCACCACCCTGGGCAACAAACAACCACAGGCGGCAGTGCCCCGGCTGGATGCATGAACGCAATGGTAGATCACTATGGGCAGTGTGTGTGTGTGTGTGCGCTACATTTACACACATTTGCTTCAGAGCGCAGGCTTGAGAGGGCACCCCTTTCACCAGCTCAACCATGAAGGCTGTCTCTGTTCTCTTTTGCTTCAAACACTCTCGTTCTCTTAACTTTCTTTTCTCCCCCATCCCCCTCGTCCTCCCCCTTTCCTGCATGGCCCTTCTCATACACTGGCTTCTTTCACACCAAGAGGACAGCCTCTCTGATTCTCCCCTCTCTTCTCATTTTTTGTCTCTTCTCCTCTTATTTGTGGTCATTTCACTTGCTTTTCTAATTTTCTACATTGACAACCTTTCCCTCTTCCCCTCATTGCCTCCCTCCCTGTCCTCCCCCTGTCTCACTAAGCCCAGAGAAAATCTTGTAGCTACATGCTGAGACCCTGCTTCCAAGTCGATGTCACTGTACCTGACTGTTCTATAACACGGCAGGTGAGCACACACCACAGAAATACCTACAGGGAGGGCTGCTTTATTTAATTTTTCTCATATCAGGTCAACCTTGTGAGGCTTTTTCCATACCTTCTTATTCACCGATGTGTGCACACAATCCTTTGTTTACTTAGCTTTAGGTTAATCATCAATCAAACTATAATCCTTTCGTAAACCCTTGAGCACCTGACACACACACACACACACACAAGCAAAAACAGGCTTAGGTATGCCTATGTGATCAAGTACACACAAACTCTGGATATGTGTGTCACTTTACCTGCCAACTTTTCCATATTTTCTGGGTTCATACCCAAGGTCAAAAATGAATGAATGACTTAAAAAGGTTTCACAGTAAGTCAACATTAACAGATCAGATGTTTGCTCACTGTGTTTGACAGCTAAGCAAACTTAGATTTTAGGTGGAGTTGTCTTTTTAATGTAACCTGCATACCCCAAACCCACTAACTTCAAGACACAAAAGATGTTCAACTAGTGGTCATGTGCTTGCCGGCTGCAATTTATTGGCTGAAAGGCAGCAACATGAGGTAAAAACACACTTCTTCAGGAGCAAAGTCGTACTTGTTGCTTCTTTCCTTATTTTATTCTAGTTCCATAGTGAGGTTTTTTATGTAGTGTACATAATATAAATGTTCCAGGGATCAAGTTTGTCTACCAATGTGTGAAGAAAATCTCCTGGATTTTAGAAACTCTAAATTGCTCTCTATGTTTAATAAAATACAAAAACAAATAAATGGCAATAAGGTGAGTTTCCTTCATCTGTAAAGGAGCATGCCCACAAAAAAATGGAAAGAATTGATTGTTGAGCTATTATTAAGTTGTTTCTGTTTAGTGGTAACCATATTTCATATTTTTATTACAATACAGAAATGCTCATGGAAATATTTTAATACACAAACAAATAGCAAGACCGCAATTGGAGTAGGTAGTGATGGACAGATATTTGACAGAACCAGTGCAAAGCTGCTGTTAAAACGGAACCATTCTTGTTCAGTCATTCTGTTTCTCTAACTAAATGCATCATAATTTGCAAAATCAAATCAGAACAAAATATTTGAACAGAAAACCTTCATTATCTGTGGCTTGGGAGAGGCAGGACTTGTTGATGGAAAGTTACTGTTGGTACAGTGTGTATAGTCGCAGGGAGTGTCGACCTAAGTCCTTGTTTTTGTGGGTTGTTGTGTGCTGTTTCCACCTTGAACCAAAACAGACTCTCTCTCTGTATTTGTCACTCACTCTCTTTGCCTCTCCTGTTTAAGTCGAGGTTTAGGAATTTGAGGGAAATAACCGCAGCCACTGGCCAGAGTGTCTGCTCCACCACATGCTCTCTCACGCATCCTCTCACACACACACACACACACACACACACACACACACACTTACATGCGTACCTAGGAATGTGTAGGAGGAAGCCACTCTGCTATATACTGTTTTGTGGGATGACATGATGTGAATCCAGAGGAACCGACAGAGAGTCTGTGTGTGCAGGTCGAAAATAACCGCACTATAATGTGAGTGTGAAACAGTACATTGTGTGTCATGGGATTGAAGGCCAATTACTGTAACTACAAATGAGTTGTTCACATGAATGTTTGCTTGGCTGGTCAGGGCACTACAAGTAAGGCTTATCATTTCAAGTTTTTGTTTTTTACCTTTTTTTTTAAGATCAGTTTGAACTGATGTTTGTCTGTTATTTATGTCTCTACACATTCAAAGGTTTATATGTTTTCTGCTGGAAGAAGAAACCAAAATGAGGTTTGCAGCCTGCAGGAGACAGCCCTCCTTTGTCTGCATGGATTTTCTCTATTTTCCTCACTTTGTCCAAATACATCTGGGTTACGTGAATTGCAAACCCTAACTTGCACATAGGTGTCGATGTGTTAGATTGGTGACAGTGATAACAGCATAAGATAACTGGGTATAGATGATGAATTGAAAATAAGGGATCATCAAGTGCAGGTGATTTACAGAAGTGAACTGATATTTAAGCTAAATAGTTTTTTAAAAACAACATATAAAATAAAGCTAAACTAAATGCTCTTTAAGAATTAAAACATCTTCAAGGGAGCAAAAGCTGCAAACCCATATCCAGCAAAATGTGCTACTAAACTCTAATATGTTGGTCTATTTAAGCTGTAATTCAATTCTGCTAAAAGTCTGTCATCCGATTATATAAGTGGAAGGTTTATTGTCGCTCCTGTTGTCCTAAACCTTTCAGATTCACTTAAAATGGAGTGATGAGGTCGTGTTTTTACTAAACACTTTTGCTAGTCTTTTTTTTTTTCATTATAAATAGTGTTCAAGCACTTACTGTGCGGCTCTTCACTCGTTGTTTATGCCAGTTTATTTTCCTTCATTTAAGGTTTTTCCATTCCAGGTTTAGCTTAATTCAGACATCCATTGCAGACATGACGTTGTTTATTTTGATGTGTGTGTGTGGGGGGGGGGGGGTATTTGGGCTTTTGGATTGCATGGCTGATGCCTGTGCAGTCTACACAATTCATCCATCTGACTCTGCTCTCATGCAACCAGCCTCTCTCTCTCTCTCTCTCTCTCTCTCTTCTACACACTCAGGTTTGTTGCAAGCTGACACATAAAGTCAGAACCTCTCTACCGTCCTTTAATCCCGACCTGCGTTTTGAAGTCACTGCTCTGTATCTCTCTGGTGGTTATGGTCTGGTTGTCACCAAAAGCTTCAAACACCTGACAAATATTTCCCTCACCTCTCTCTCCAACACACACACACATCAGTCTGTGCAAACATGGTGCAGGTAGGATTCTGTGTCTGTGTGTGTCAACGATACTAAAGTACCTGCACTGTGGGATTATACAGATAAGCTCGGCTGGGGGGGGGGGGGCAGCCCACCTGTCTTGTCATGTTCACAGGTGTGTTTTGGAGAGAACACACACATGCACGCACACAAAAAAAGAGGCTTCATATTTAACAACATTGACCTCTGTGTCAGCTTGTCCACAGGTGTCCTGAGCTCTGTTTTCACTCTTTTTTCTTTATCTACTTGACCTTTTGGAAAAACCCATGGACAGACACAGATAGTTGTCTATATTAGCTTCAGATTTATCCCCAAAAATGCAGTAGTTATTCTGCTCTGCTGCATTAGGTTGGAGGCTGCACCCAAAAGTTGCCTGTTTTTTTAATGAAAAATGCAATTATTTTGATAAAATCATGTATAAGAATGTATAAAGTGATGGTGTGTGAGAATGGGATGTCCTGTGTAAGATCATAGGCTTGAAATATAGTGATTTGTGGAGTTTCCTGAAGATCTTTAATGGAACCCTGTCATCGACCTCGACAGTGTGTCCTCTTCCATGTCACAGCCTTGAGATGTATATTAAAATTTTATCAGGTCAAAGCTAATTCTTTGAAATGTGTCGCTCGGTGCAGATTACATGCGCAAACCTGTTGCAGTGCTTTTTGGTTGCTCAGTCAGATTTCAAGTTATCATGTGGGGTTTAGAGCGGGTCCTTCTATTGTTTATATTTCATGGTGGACCAGAGATGTCTACAGATGCAACTGTGCATTATTTTAAACCAAGTTGGCCCCGTTTCACTTGATTTGTATTGACATCAAAATCTTGTGTGCTCCCTGCCCAAGTCATATCATGGAGAGCCACAGAGTTCCTGCATGGACGCAGGTAAGAAGAAACCTAATTTAACTGCCTGTCAGTCACCTGATTTGTACAATAATAAAAATAGAGGCCTTTACAGCTCTTTGAAGCTAAAAGTCAGAAGAAGAACTACAAATCCAACATACTGTGTGCTTGAATACAATAGGTGGTGTGCCGAAAACGTGTCAAATTAAGCCATGGCTATTACACTTTCTCTCCTCTCCCTCTGTGTTTCTCTCTGTCCTTCCATCTCAGGTTGAAGGAGATTGATATGAGCGAGTATGACGCCGCCACGTACGAGCGCTTCTCCAACGCTGTCAGCAGACAAGTTCAGTCTCTACGCATCATCCTGGACAGTTTACAGGTTAGCTTCACTCCACATGGCATCACTCTTAGTTTAGACAAGTGACAGTAATGTTACTCACAGTATTACTATTTAAGGCATTGTCTAAATTCTTCTTTCGGAAGAATTGGTCCCAAAGAATAAAAATTTGAAAATGTGCCACAAGTCTGAAAGCTGCATCACTATGACATTACTTTTACATTGGTAGAGAGCACAAATTAATTTCTAATCCCAATTAGTTTAGTTTAGTGTCAAGATAGTATATATCATTATATGGCAAATTAAAACAATTAAATGAATGTTTAATGCAATGAACTGTATTGCACCATTATGCATTACATCAAGAAAATTCACAAGTAAAAGAAAAGCATAAACTCATCAACAACTAATTTTGCTTGTTATTAATTATAGTTTGCTTGGAATTCTCATTTTGTAAATTGAAAATACAATATAATATTATCAAGACACTTTTTGACTCAAAGTCAACCGAGGGTACTTCAAGACGCCATCATCAAATGCAACATCGACATGTGTTGTTCATCATCATTTGTATATTCTTCCTATTAAATATCCTTATTGGAATTTCAGTGTGCGTATCCGGGTTAAACATTTGTTTGCAATGACAGGTCAGCCTGCTCAGGTCGGATTTAGATTTTTAAAAAAACTTTTACTTTACAGTCAAACAGTAAGCACTGCAGTCCAACTAACCCTGGCCAGTCACAAAGTCATGAGGTCATAAAGTTGGTAGATGACAATTGATTGACCTCATGCAAACCCACATGTGATGTTGGGGCAGGAAGGAGGGGGCGCTGTCCCACAGGAACACCCTCATTGGTTGAATGAATGAAAAGCAAAAGTTTAGGGAGTGGGTGGGTGGCTGGCTAACAATCCAGCATGTGATATTGTCTCCATTTCATTATTTTGGTTCAGACTTCCTCCCATTGTTTGAGCTCCTTAGGGGAAATGTGTGTTGATGCATTCAAGAGGGGTTTTTGGTACGCGTGTGTGTCTGTGTGTGTGTTTCCACGTGACGAGAGGAAAATCATGCTGCATGTAAGAATGATTACAGAGCAGCGAAACTAAGCCGTGCTCTATTATTCTGCTGTCCAGGTGTGAAGCTCTATTTGTATATGTTGTGGTGGGTGGGTTTTTGTCTGTGTTTGTGTTTCCCATCCAGGTGTTTGCAGCCGTGCCAGCGTTGGCTTTGAACATGAACGTTGGTTATTGTTTGTATTTGTCCTTGTAGCCCCGGGCGTTTTTCCCGCTGTAAAGCTGATGGAGATTATACCAATCCCAGCAGGCGTGACGCTGTGAAGTCATGTTATTTTTATCATACCTGAAGAGTGATTTAAGGAGTCTCACACACACACACACACACACCTAACCATAGCTTGTAAGTTGTCAATAAACTTATAGTGTATTGTTTCATCCCCTTCAGTCCCCACAAGGGAAACCCCTCTCTATTGATCGCTCAACAATGGACTGGCTTGCCAGACATAAACACCTGGGCTCTTATTTATCAAGCGTCTCCGAGTAGGAAGTCCTAACTGGCCAAAATAATCACTGAGTAATACATTTCTGCTGCTAGTTTTAGACCTTAGGAAATAAAAGCTGTTTTCAACTTAATTCACTGGGGAAGTTACTCCTATCTTTGGCAGTATTTGGGAGAAGTGTAGAGGTGTCCATACCTGTTATCAGGAGATGACCAATGGGAGTTTAAATGGTAACTTTTCAACTGAATTTTTCAATCTGAACCCTGTAACTAAGTGACTAATGGGGACAAAAATTTATGAAATTGCATTGTATTGAGCACGAGCGCTGCGGTTGGCAGCATGTAATTCTTCTGGGCAATTACAGGGCGTCAATGTACATCCACCTTAAAGTTCTTATTTTTGCCACTGACAGGCAAGTGTCTGACAACATTATGGAAAGGATCCCTATAGAGATAGACCTTGTTTTAAAGGACAAGATCGTTTCTGTTTAACCACTATATCGCTGTCGTGAAAGCCACCAGACTCAATTGACAAATAAAGTCATTTTACCACGCAGATTATCGTAAAACTCACTCTTCATGGTTGCCATGATACAACTTATTTAACACATACATGTCTTCTCCTGTTATGTGTACATTATTCCCAAGCACACTCATATGTCTATAACGAAATGACAACTATTGTTAATTATTACGTCATTTCTTATCAGTGATGTTAAATCATTTGCTGTATGTAACATGATGGCCAGTCTGTGTTCTTGTGTGTACACGTCATGTGTTATGTAAAGCAATTTCAATACACTTGGAACTAAATATTATCACTGTTGACTTTTGTAAAGACTGAATGGGTGGGGTGGAGCGGATTGTGTTCCTTCTTTTGTTAGTCTCCTTTTTTGTAAAGAAGCTCTCCTTCCTCAGGGAGCAAACTGAAGACGGTTGAAAGTGATGTTGCTCTTCCTCTCTCCTTCCAAGTGACCACAGCAAAAAGTGGAGAGGGATCCTGAGAAATGGGGTCAGAGCTTCAAAGAGACACCAGCCTCCTGCCTCTTTTGTTCAGTGGGTGCGGGTGGGAGGAAAGGTGGCAGTTGGCGGTGTGTGTGTGTGTGTGGGGGTGGGGGGGGCGTACTAAAAGGAGTTGACACGTGTCATGTGCATCTGGCTGTCAGCTAATTTAAGCATCTGTTCATACTGTATGTACTGTGAATCTTTCTTGTTGTCTAGAACGTGTCAGCTGAAATTACGGCCATCTGGACTTTTTCTTTTTTTCCTTGTTTCATAATCTAATAGCCCCACCAAAGTGAAATCATCCTCCCCAGACAGATTTTGCAATGTGTTTATTTATTTGGATGATTGGTATGGAACATGTACTCAAACCTTGTGTGCTTTTTTTCAGGCTAAAGGAAAGGAGAGGCAGTGGTTGAAGAACCAGGCTCTGGGAGAACTGGATGATGCTAAAATCATTGATGGTCTGACTGGAGAGAAGGCTATATATAAACGCAGGGGAGAGCTGGAGCCAGAGGTGTGTATGTGTATGTGTATGTGTGTGTGTGTGTGTGTGTGTGTTTGTGTGTGTGTTGCTACAGATATTTAAGCCACTTTTTTTTTTTCCGAGCACACACACACATCATTTTGACCTTTATCTGTCAGACGATACATTCCAGTGGTGTGTGTGAGATTATTATTACACCCTGGGTTTCTGCTCAAGCATACAGTCATTTCTGCTTTCATGTATGCTTGAGTAAACCCCCGCCCCACACACACACACACAGACAGAGATAGTTCCCACGCTAATCATACAAAATCACACTAACCATGATATGCATGCCATGTTTTTCTACCTTATTTAGCGACATGCATAGCATATTTTTGGTTTGGCCTGAAGGTCTACATTAAAATAATTGCAACCTGTTTTGAAATCCTGCCCTTGTGTTGAATATTATTTTAAGTGAGCTACACCAAAATCCATAAAACGCTTTCCAAAATAGATATATTCTTTAATTTAATCATTCGTCACTGCTGATTTTCTTTAAAAACGTTTTTTTTTTTTGTATTTATGTTACTCTGTTCGTTTACAGCTGGGCAGCCCTCAGCAGAAGCCCAAGCGTATACGGGTGTTAGCTGACGTTTCGGGTAGCATGTACCGCTTCAACGGCGTGGACGGCAGGCTTGAGCGCTCCATGGAGGCTGTGTGTATGGTCATGGAGGCTCTCGAGAACTACGAGCACAAGTTCAAGGTTAGAACGCCACACCAGATCATGTGTATGTAATACAGTGTAATGTTACTGAAGAACCAGTCATTACTGTACAACCTCAACACACCACTATTATCTATGTTACTTTTCCTCACTGTATCAGGTGTACAGCAGCCATGTATGCATTTTATGTCACATAACAAATGTGTATTCAAGAGGACTTTAATCCCAGATTCCATGTCTTTTCTGGATTAATGTGAACCTCACCAATTTTTTGCTTAAATAGTAAAGTAAAGATTTGTGTAATTTTGTCTAAATATGAATCAAACTATTTGACTACTTGTAATCAGGTTTCCAACCACAGCAGTATCAGTTCAGTAGCTAGGAAATAAACAATAAGCACCACTGACCCTTCTTAGATAAATTAATTTCAAACCATTTAGCAGTATGAGACAATATGTGGATATGTGGCGAATACCCTTGTGGTCTTCACTAATCACCGGCTATTGTCTATGTGCCACTGGTGCTCCTTTGTCACACTTTTGACCACATTAGTTTGTGCTGCTGACACATTTCTTGGGCCATTCATGAATGGAAAAAAGGAATCCATCTTAGCCAGGAAAGTAGGATCATGCAAAAGATGGAGGAAGTGAAATAGAGAGGTGCAGTACGAAGGAGGGAGATGAGACATGAGTGTGTGCAAAAAGGCTGAAGGGAGACAGACTTCTTGGCCCCTACGTGACACTTAACCCAACCTAATACTGATCACATATCAGTGCCTCTCTCTCTCTCACACACACACACACACACACACACACACACTTCAGTGCACCTGATCACATGTCTGTGTAGCTGCTTTCTTTGCTAACACCCCTTACATAAAAGTACATCTGATAAGACATATACACCTTTACTTGTGTGTGCTGGTGCTACCTGCAGTCTTACTGTGTGTGTGTGTGTGTGTGTGTGTGTGTGTGTGTGTGTGTGTGTGTGTTGTAAGATCTATTGATGCTGGTAGGTCAAACACACAAATCTATTCAGGATTCCTGTTAGTGCATGTAAATAGAGATGATATGATGAAACATTAGTCTAGTATGTGTCACTTTATAGTTTCATGTCCTATTCATTACAACCATCAGACCCCCATTTACAAGCCAAAAATGGAACGCAACACTTGCATATTAAAAACTTTAGTTTGAGTGATTTCTATGTTTCATTAAATTCAAGGATTTCTTAGTCCCTGAGGGGGACAAAAAAGACTGACTGATATGAAAAGATAACATGTTGAAAAGCACACTTCTTACCCAGCAACAGCGATATGGACAGATGAGACACATAGTTGCATACCTTTGACCACCACAGTCATAACTGCCCTTCTTAGAAATAGCCCATATACGTAATATTGGGGGCCTGAAATAGCTGAGTGGAGCCCACGGTGCCAGGCTGACCCGGCCTTATGTAAGCCAGTTGTGAATGATGGTCTTTGACAGGGTTAACATACTGTAGCGGGTGCAGGTTTGAGTGAGGATAGCCTAGATCTGATGTTTCTGCACCATCACACCTGCGTCTTTACACTTCATTCCATGTACTATTCTAGGTCCTACCATTTACATTCCTATGGTATGATACATTTTACCGTTGTACTTTTATATTTGTTAAGTTTGATCATACTATTTCCTCTATACAGTACGACATAATGGGCCACTCAGGCGACGGCTACGACATCGAGCTGGTCAGAGCGGATAAAGTCCCCAAGAATAACAAACAGAGACTCAAAGTCCTCAAGGTACAGATTCATAATCAGTCCATTCATGTTTTGTTACTGTTCACCAGTTATTCTCATATATATACCAATCAAAACAGACTAAAAACAATGGTTATTGTTGTTATTTCTTACTTTCTCTTTGTTGACAGCTAAAATTGCATTAATTGGATTAACTTTTTGTTTTTCTTATATTTTCAGTCCTATAAAGTGTGACCCTTAAATATAAAATTGCAAGATACCCTATGAGTTCAGTGCTCAGGGCTGTTTGCAGTCCCTTATTCTCCAGGATCAGCCACCATAAACAGATTCTCCACTTGTGCAATACACTGGATAATGTACAGCGAGGTTGAGGAGATGTCTGACATCCTGTTCAACTCTTTATCCCTCCTCCTCTTCTCTCCCCCTCCCCCGCCCTGCAGACCATGCATGCCCACTCTCAGTTCTGCATGAGCGGCGACTTCACTCTGGAGGGCACAGAAGCCAGCATTAAGGAGCTTGCACGAGAAGAGGCCGACGAGCACTTTGTGGTGGTGCTCAGCGATGCCAACCTTGAACGCTACGGCATCCGGCCCGAGCGCTTCGCCCAAGTCCTGACATCTGACCCGCAGGTCAATGCCTTTGCCATCTTCATCGGATCCCTTGGTGATCAGGCTGAAAGGTGAGGAGGTGGAGATGGGCGTAGAGGCATCTTGGTTGAGTTAAGTAGAAGGTGCAAATAAGAGAAGCAAGGGAGAAAATAGGAAGGATAAGTGAAGGGGGAGAAAAAAGAGCCCAAAGGACCAAGGATGACAGGAAAAATGGAAGGTGGCGGAGAGGTAATAATGAAAGAGGAGCAGAAGACTGGATGAAGGGACAAGTACAAACTCAAAATGACTGCTATTTGAACACCCACACCCAGTGTAACAGAAATAGCCAACAGTCCACTCAAAGCTTATCGAGATCATAGCCGGCCATCCAAAACCAATAAAGAACAACTAGACTTCAAAGTTAAGGTGAACAATGAATGTCCAATTCAGTTTAGCTTCACTTTCCTGCTTGCTGCTGGCCTGCTGACCTTTGTTGTCACATCCCAGATTAAGTCATGAGCTTTGCAGGCAGGACAAAAGGTAGCTAAGTGCACTCTTCAGTCCGCTTTGAAGAGCCGCTTGCTTCATGGTTAGAATGCAGTCATGAGCGGAAGGACCTTCAGAATGACATGACCTTCTTTTGCACATGGCTCATGAATCTGTGAAGAGTAGGAACAGCAAGAGAGAATGAAACATGCTGAGAGAGTGAGTGCAAAGAAAGAGAGCCAGAAGCCCAGGTCCTGTAGAAATGAACTGGTTTGGTTTCATTTCATTTGGTATCATCTATACAGACTACCGGTTCAAGTCGAGAACGCTGGATAGAGGAATGAGAACAATATATTATCATGGAGGCAAGTAAGCGTAGGAACTTAGTTATGGTTAAGCCATTCAGTTACATAAACGCTGTTGTCTGTCCATGCTTGTTTGTCCCCATTTAGAGGACAAACTACAAATTGAAAAGGAGGATTGTGTAAGGAAATGGGTGAATGAAAGAACGAAAGGGTAGTGGGTTTTTACAAAGGACTGAAACTCTGTGGAAGTGCCTGTGTTGTCATGTTCCTCAGCTCTGCCATGTGAAAAACAGCCCTTTCATTCTCACACACACACACACACACACACACACACACACACACACACACTGTACTATGTCAATGCAAATGTCTAGTACCAATTCACACAGAAAACAAGTACTTGTCTGTCTTTTTATTTTGGGGAACGATTCTGTTGCTAAAGTTCAGTCCCTCTGTTTAACCTCAAACTTCAACCTTTTTTTCTTTGTTTCAGACTCCAAAAGACCCTTCCAGCAGGGCGATCCTTCGTTGCCATGGACACCAAGCAGATCCCCCAAATACTGCAGCAGATCTTCACATCTACAATGCTGTCTAGTGCCTAAGACTGACAAACACACGAAGCACATACACTCACTTCTGTCTCACACATTCAAAAGCTCAACATTTGTTCTGCAAGCTCTGAAGCTTGTCCTTGACGTTGGCACAGTGATTCATCAAGATGTATCCTTAACTCACTTTCTGTATCAGATTGTAGAATCTTTACCTGAGCTGCATCAGGTCTGTAGACTCGCCTCTGAACAGGCCTCAAGAGCAAAGGTTATATTTATTATTTTACAGGAAAATTCCTTCTGTCAAAATATGACTGTGTTGACGCGACAGAGTTAAATGTTTAGCTGCTGTTTGGTGTCTCACAGGGAATAGGTGCTGTACAATGTGGTCTGCAAAAAGCCTGTGATCTTGTGCACTATGACTGTGAAAGGGCACACACTGTATTGGTAACAGTGACATTGAATGCCTGTCTCGGACTCCATGTGAGGATCAAACACACATCAAGACCTGTTGTTGTTTTTGTGTTTTGGGCTGACAGTGTGCTGACGCACACACACATACATCCTTGTCCTGTTTTGGGTTGTGAGCAACTTTGCTTAGAGGGGAGGGTCATGAACTTGAAACAGCATCACTTATTTGGACTTCCTCCTCGTTTATCGTCTGTCACACTGAAAAACGCACATGCAGGAAGGGTGACACTAAAGTGCCACCTGACTGACACTTGTACATGGTGAGCAGCAATAACTTGGCTCCTTTGGAATGCTGGGACTCTGACCAGGGAATTTCCTGCCTGACTGCACACGCTCTTTAAAGCTAGCCGCTGTTGCACAACCATGGGCTGTGTGCGTGCTCTCCTACAGCATCTATGTCAACATGCACAAGCCCTTTCCTTCCTGGCTGCTGGACCTTGTGACGTCCCCCCACTGCTCGCCTGAATCCTGCAAGGAATCTGAGATCGCCTTTCATGGCCAGACCTCCCACGCCTCTTTCTCAAACACCAACAACTTGCCACTGCAAAATAAATTAGTAGAAAATGATCCGACTTAGTGTGTCAGTATGTGCTTAGCTGTGCATGTTAGGACTTAAGTGCACACAGACCTGTGGTGCGCATCATCTTATGTATTTCTGCTCTTTGACATCATGCTGTGCAGTCAGTCATGTCTGTGCCAGCTTCCAGCCACGTGCATCCATCACTTTCGCCTCCGGTTGTCACACTTTGTGATTGATAGCATCAATAGAACATCCTGTCTAACCATTACTCTCTATTGATTCATCTCTGATAGAGGGATGTCCTGTTTTTATTAACCTACTTTCATCTCCTTTTAACCCTCTCTCTTGACCTTTCTCTCACTCTGCTGATGTATTGGAGGGGGCAAAGGTGACTTCATGGTAAAAACTGGACTAGTGTCTCTGTGGACATTTTGCCTTGATCATATGTTTGCTAGTCAAGACATGTTTGGGTAGGCATTTAACGTGTGTATAGCTGCATATTAAAATCATATACATATGTCTTTGCTTTTAATTTAATTGTAAATTTGTTAGTACTTTATGTGGAAAAAAAGGTGTGCAAGTAATGTACAAAATGTTAATAAAATCATGTTAACATTGCTCAGTTGATTCAGTGGTAACTTTTCAGAAAATCTAAAGGAGGGCTGAGAATATTATCCAACTTGTAAAGCTAAATGAACCATTTAACAACCAACTGGATTATCTGAAAATGCATTATTACAAATCTGGAAATATAAGTATTTTGTAGTAGTAAAAAATATATATATATATGTTATGAGTGTGTTATTGTGTAACATATTGTTCTGCAGTCGACCATGAAACTCTTAATTCTTAGAAACTGAGGGACTTCTATGAATCCCAGACCACTCCGCTTCCCTCTCATTTCCTCCATGGTCACTTTTTCCGTGTGTTGTAATGATGTGTTCACTCAGCCACAATCATCCAGCCCACCCTCTCTGTCTTGAGTAGCCGAAGCAACTCAGCACACACTATGCAACTCTTCCTAATTCAGATCTCACACTGTATAGTCTTGTTGCTTAAATAAGACCTGTGGACTGACCTCAAAAGCACTAAAACACAACAGTGAATGTACTTTGTAAAGAAATTGCTATCCTTTCATGTCCACAACAAAATGCTTTTTCTGTGCTACTTTTGAAAGCGATTTAACCTTCTGCATCATCTGCTGCTTTGGCAATGCTACTGAGGAGCAGAAAAAGACTGTAACAACGGCCAGCGAAGTGCTCAGGATAACATTACAAAGTTTAGAATGCATCTACAGAGACAAAACGTTAAAGAAGGCAATCAATATTTTGGGTGACCAGAGGCGCACACCTCATTTGAATTGTTGCCCCCCTCTATTCACTGAAAAAAGATGGTTATTTGCGCCGCACGTTTTTAAACAGGTAATGCACTAGCAGCTTATCCCCATCCACTCTGTGCGAACTACAGTATGTGTACGCATATTTCTAGTGATGAAGTGCCTTGTGATTGTGCTGCAAACCAGTTCTAGTCGGATACCATCCTCTGCTCTACCTTCAATGTTCTGGAAATAAGGGTACTGAAGATTATGTATATGTTCAGTCACTGTTTCCCCTGTTTATTCCAAAGAAACCCTCTGAAAAACTAAAAGATTTTATTCCAGGAAAGGTATATCTGACTTGTGGAATGTAAAAATATCAGAAAACTCATCAAGTTTAAGTCTGTATTTCAGCTGGTAATACTGACGCATTTCAATGAAAATGTTTCAGATTATTATCTATTATACTATATGTTTGCATTGTTACTCTACAATCTCTGCCCTGGCCCTGTCTGGCCTATGGGAAGAACAGTGAGGTGGTAATTACATAGTTCTGTTCCACTTTCTTTCCCTGCTTCCTGTACTACACTACAGTGTTTATCACCCTGGATTTGCAACGACAAACTTCCTCTTACAATGACTTTAGGCACTCACCCACTCACACTTATAATGCACACCTGGTCTGCCCATTCTAAAAAAAAAAGCCAGATTACAACAGTGAGATAAGACGTCTAGACTAGCGGGGTATTACTTGCATTAGTCAGTTTTAGGTGTGTGTTTGCTTTCTTACATGCTCAGAGACTCTGTGAATCGCTCACATTTCCTGCAGTTGTTGGAAGAATAAGCAGAGAATCTAGTTGGTGATTCATAATGTGCCACACTTGAAGCAAACTAATTTTGGGTACTTTTTGCTTGTGTCATCACATTTCAGCCTGGGCCCTGTTTTAACACTCACTCACAAACACACAGTTCACAATAAGTGTGATGCCATGACTGGAGGCTAAACTGCAGCATGATTGATCCCTGTGCAGACCACACAAGGACATGACAGAGAGAAATTGACTGGTCAGTGTGATTGATTGATTGCTAATCTCGTAGCAACCCAGCAGGACAGATGGGGCAGAGTGATTGTCCTAGTGTTAGCTAAACAGTAGGACATGAGTGCATGTGCTCATTTGGCTGTAACTGGGTGATTGATGCCAGCCAGTCAGTTTCTTGCAGGCCTGTATCTTAGAAGTGTGTTCACAGTGCAGAAATGTTACATGTTATAGTGTAGTTATAGTGTATTTCGCATAATGATGTGGTCTGTAGAAACATGTGTATGGCATGTGTGGTTTTATGTGTTGCCCTGTTTGCGTATGTGCATTGCTGCATGTCTTTTTGTAGCCATGTGTGTGTTTGGTAATGAGAAATAGTGAAATCAGGGGTACAGGAAGCTTTTAAGTAGGAGAATGTAATAGAGTCAGCCTAGTAACATGCACCAAGATACAATAGACCCAATAACTACATACAAACACAAGGGCTTCAATCAACTCTGGTGGAATGGACAGACAGCCGGCGGCAGTCCCAAAGCTTTATGGCAGATTCATTAGGCAGTAATAATAGTTCAGAGTCAATAGTGCTCGCTAGCACCATGTGGTTAGCCTGTGCATATGTGTGTGTTAGTGTGGTTAGCTCGTTGTTAATATCAGCCTGTGCCTACGTCTGTGGAGAGAAAGTGTGTGTGGTAGAAATAAAAAAAAGACATACACTGGTCTCATTGGGCTGAGTCTGGCAGACAACCACACCTTGGACACACACACACACACACACACACAGACACACACACACACCAAATGACCACCTGACACCTGCCCAGGCTGTCATATCCTAATTGAGTTGCACTTGCACATTTAATCTTGTGAGCTTATGAGCTGTGCTGCTGACAGACCCAAAGACAGAGTGGCGGAGCACCTGACACACAGAAATGCTGATACGCAGATGTCCGGGCAGCCAGTCAGACAGTTGAGGTAGTGATGAAAAGCAAACTGCTGTAAAGAGAGGATTACAAGACTCTATTTCAGCACATCATCCAAGTTCGCCTTGAATTGATGATGCAGTTTTGCACTCAAAGTCCAAACATGGGCTTAGGTCTGGAAAACGATTTGGGGTAAAGGAGGGCAAACTCACAAACAATCAATCTCTTTTTTATATGTTAGTATGATGATGAACATAAGATGTAAATGTGTTTTAACATAATTCAGCTGCACTGTCTGAAAAATACAAATGTTTCAATTGATCCCAATATACTCTTTTACCCGAAGTGTCTTCTTTGTATGTTAGGGTATGTCCCCTCTGAGAATTGCCACCCAATTTAGGTGGGGGTGGGAGGGTTGCGTGCCCCTGTGACCCTTGGAGCTGTGTTGTCAGGGGCAACAGCTCCTGTTATTGTCTCCCAAGGCAATTTGGTCCAAGGTGAGGGGCCAGACTTAAGAGTGATTCAAAGCCCTGTATGCTGTATCAGTGTCTTCAGGAAAAAGCAGCCTCTTCCAAATCAGAGAGACCAAACCTCCCTCATGGAACAAGGCCTGGGAGGGGATCTCGCTGCCAACTGGATGGTAGCCTAAGGAGGGGTCTTGTTGTTCTGATTACTGATTACTGGCTCCAAAAACTGAATCTTGGCACACATAATGTCATCATTCTAGTGAGGAAGGAGCCAAAACTAGTACAGTAGATGGAAGATACCAACTGTATATAGCTAGCACACTTTTTCAGCCTGTTGTTGGAGAGTTTTTGGAGTCTTTACATGATGTTCCTCAGGACTCCACTTGGGATCTGCACAGATCTGCTGGGGCATCTGATCTGAACCTGAGTAGTGTTTTATTTATTGGACTGTGTTGCTGTGGACTCTGTTAACATTTGGCTGAGGTCGCTGACGGCAAGGCTTTCAACTCCCACCTCTGAAAGAATTTTCTGTGCAACCCGAGGGAATTTGGGGGTGTGGAATCCATGTTGGCATGTTCAAAGACTCCGTTACAGAGGCTGCTGCACAGAGTTTGGGCCTGGTCCTCAGTGCCAGTCTTAACAGCCACACCAACAGTGAAGAAAGTGCTCAAGATGAAAATGGTGAGCCCAAGAAACTCCTCAATCAGCAGAAACGTATCAGTAAACCAGAAAGACTGCAGTTAACGTGGACATGAAAGAACATTTAGTTTGGAGGGAGTTAAGTAGGTCATGGATTTTCTTGGTTGGCCTCAAAAGTTTTGGAAATCAATACAAGGTCTTGCCTCCCCTGTCTAAACCTGATATACTCGCTCTTTGAAGAGAAGGTCAGAAGGTCCCATCCCCCTGGCGGAGATCACTGAGGCAGTCAATGACAGTGTCACTGTCATTGAGTCAACATATGATTTTCATGGATAGCAGTTGCAGACACAACTAGGGAATGAAGAGTGTCTGATATGGCAACCTCTAAATTGGATCTCTGTTTTTTGGCAATGATGTTCCTCATTGGACCATGACCTTAGTGGGTCAGTGACTGTTTGCCATTGAGGGTACGATGTAGAATGAGATCAACAGGCAGATTGGTTTTGTTTTTGGCAGTGATGTGATCATTGTACCAGGTCCACCTATGCTCATGAGCTCTAGGTCGTGACCAACGAATGAGACCACAAATATAAGTTTCACCCATGAGGGCAGGACCTGGGACATCTGGGGCTTGGAGTCAAAAGGAACCAGATGATTGAGTTCCGGCATCTGATCGGGTTCGCTCCTGGAGGTCTCCATTTGGAGGAGTTCAACATTGTCCAAGTGAAAAACATGAATATATCCCCAGTACAGGAAGTCAATCTAAAAAGCTTAGAAAAATGGTCACCAGTTGATTTAATGCATGTTGTGGTTAACACTGTTGAATTTTTTACTACTAGTTATTGTTTTACCAGTATGCTTATACTTTTGTCGTCTTTGTTGTCAAGTTTGAGAGTAAATGGCATTTAAAAACACACACACTCTCTGTTTGTGTTTCTCTCTGTCATTAACAGGCACATTAAGTCTCACTGGAAAAGTCATTTTGTCAACTGAAATCATGTGCTTGGTTGTTGTGAATAACTCAGGTGACACTAGCCTGGCTAAAGTGGAACATATCTAATGATAAAGAATCAATCCAGATGTCTATTTAACATTTTGGTATCTTAGATGTGTGTGTGTGCATACATGTAATATCAAGCTAATGGAAACTGACACCCCAGGTAGGGAAACTTTTCCACTTGGTACTGTCAGTTTTGGACTGACTGCCAGCTAGGGCGAGGCCAAACTTCCTGGGAAAACC